TGGCCGTCGGTCGTTAGAGTGTAGGTGGGTGGTGAATTGGTCGTGACTATTTTGTTCGGTCACCATGTCTTTCTTTTTTTGGGGGGGTTTTTTTTTTCGTTCCATGTTTCCGCCCGTCCCTTCTGCTCTCACTATGACTGGCGGCGTCTCAGCTTGATGTGTGAACCACATTTCCGGTCGCTTCTGATCGCCATTGGAAGATGAGGACATCGGGGCAAAACAGACAGCGCGGCGTCGCACGCCTCGTACCGCTTCTTGCCAGTTGCTGGACACCCTTCCACGCCAGGTCTCAGCTCACCATCCTTCACCGCCGTTGCTCAGCCCACAGCATCCGTCACACTGAGCCCCAGCCCTGGCCCGAGCCATCTTTTCCTTTCGACGGCAGCAGCTGACATGGCCTGCGCGACGCATCGCAGGAACCCCCTCCCCCGCCCTTGTTCATTGGTCAGTCGTGTACGTTGTGAATGCATCGCATCTTCCCTCGCCACGTAAGGTACCTTCTCACCATGCATGATGTTTCCTTATTCAGTTCGTTTGCCACCATCCCCCCTCCCCCCTGGAGGGAGGGAGACGGTACGTTTGCGATGGGCACGTGTTACGCTGGCCTGTCTGCCTACGCCGACAAGTCAACGGTACCCGACCGTGGGCAGCGGCAAGGGGTGGAAAACGTGGCCGGTACACCATCTTGCTGGTCGGGGCCGGCGTCTGCCCAACCTGCCTCCGCGGCGGTACCCCCTGTCGCCCCCGCTTGGCATCCACGTTTTGTCATTTTGTGTGTGTTCATCACTTCCCCATGTTGGCTTGGGCTGCGTCTGGCGCCAACGACTCTCCATCTCTCTCTCTCTCCCTGTCTCTGCCTGTTCGTTCCCGAGAGTGTCGCTGTCGCCTCTGGCGTTTTTTCCCCCCCTATGTGGTGAAACCATGCTCTCTTAGTACGGGTTGATGTTCTATGGAACCCCCTTTCAGAAGAAGCCAAGCCTCTCTTCTACGAACCAGATTGGACGAAGGGCAAAGTGAGAGGTAGGAAGCTGGGCGCGGGCCAGGATTTGGACATGGACTGTGCAGTAGAATGCAAAATGTAGAGCGGATCGAGCGGGCGGAACCCGCTTCGACAGACCGCCGCCGGATACCGCGCGCGTCAACCTAGGGTGCCTGGGAATGCTTGGACTAGCAAAGTGCATGACCCGATATCCGATCAAACCTCCTCGCAGGGCCGGCCGCAAGCACATGGCCCCCAGGCTACCCACCACAAGCGTCTGTCTGTCGGTCTGTCGGTCTGCATTGTTGCCTGGCCTGTAGTCGATGCCCCATCGCTATCAACACCACTTCCATCGAACTTGGGAGTGAAGAGGATGGAAGGGGCGGAGACGGAAGCGGAGGCTGCGCACGGCTATGTCATCTGCATTCGCGCCATCCTCGTATGCGCGCTTGCAAAGCCTGTGAGGCTGACGAGGTTGTCACAGCCAATCGTCGCTACTCTACCCCTTTTAAGGCAGATATGCTGTGTATTCACACACTTGCCCCGCCCATCACGGCACAACTTCAAAGCTGGCGGTGCCACGTAACAAGTTCGTCGACTTGACTTGGAGCAAACCATCTTAGCCTCGAGCCTTGAAACCTCTTCTGTGCGCCTTGCAGTTCTCTCCACCCATTTGGTCTGGGCGCTGGCCCCCGCTGCGGACTCGTCCCTCTCCGTCCGCACCATCGTGACCCCCTCGTCCCCATGCCTGACTCGCCCTTGACCGGGTCCTGCCAGAAACAACATGGTATCATGCCTATCAGTAGGTAGGTAGCTGGTCGTTAGTCTCTGGGTCTCAGGGCTTAGCACCATGCGTCTTGTTCGCGCCTCTTCACGCGCGTCCGTTCAAGGTAGCACATATGAAGTCGCGTGTAGCCAGGCATATCGCGCGTAGCCGGGCATAGCGCGACAGTCACCTACATGTACCTGCCTAGCCACGGGCAACGGGCAGCTCCCGGCGGCTTGGCGAGACAGGAGCGTCCCAAGGCGTGCTCCGAATGTGTCCATCGCCCCTTCCTGTCCCGGCCAGACGACTGTGGGTGAGCCGCGTGCCCTGTGCAGGGCCGGCGAGCTACGCAGGGAAGGAGCTTGCGGCCTAGACCTACGCGGTAGACTCGAGGCGGCGTTGTGAACAGCCCTGCGGGCATAGAGTTCAGGTGTCTCCTGTGCCCACATCATGATGAACCAGGCGGGCTGGCAAGGCTAGCCCGCATAGGGGCTATCTTGCCATCTTCGCACCTGCATCACGTCTCGAGTGCTTCAGAGCCTTTCTCGGGTATTCTGGGACACAAGCTCGCTCACTCCCGGGGTGGCGGGAGCAAGTCGCGACCTGTGCTCTTGATTCGGACCTTGTGTGCCTCTACCTCTCTGTCACTCTCTCTCTCTCTGCCAGCAATCACGAGCTTCGATAGACGTGGTCAGGCAGCGGGCTCATCTGTGGCCGTGCTCCATGCAATGAGCGACCTTGCTAGTGGCCATTCTGAGGCAGGCAGTTCCATGCGCCTTGTGCCAACGGTGAAGAAAGAGCGAGTGATTGCGCGACCTCACCACGATCTCTGCTCTGAGGCGTGGCCGACATCTGGGTCTGGAGCGAAAGGGTATTGTCGGCTGTGATCTCTCTGGGTTTCGAGGATGCCTTCTCGATCCACAATATCAAGGGTTCCTATATTAAACCGCTATCTCGGGCCATCATGCAATATTCCAGTGATGGTCTGGACGCGTCCGAAATCTATTCCATGTGCACTGTATCTGGTGATGTGAACAAATTTGGGTCCGGGGGACAAAGGCAAGTTCCGACCACGTATCTGTCGACGTCTCCCAAGTGTATTGTGGTGAAAGTTTGGTGATGGAGACACAGGCTGACGTGGCAGTTAAGAGAGGAGCTCATCTCAGTTTAAGGTAGTCACTATGCAGGGTCATGGGTAACACGACCCAATTCAGCCTCCACGACGCTGAAAAAGGCCGTCGAGGGCAGCAGGCCAGCCTACCCAGGTCAGGTAGTTTTGGGTGACTGTATATCTCGACTTGTCGATGACGGCGTTACATTGTTGCGCCAGCGTGACTACATCTTTTGGCCTATCACCAGGGCACAGCGCATGAAGATTCTCGTTCACTGGGGGAGGGAAAGGTAAATTACTGCAGTCGCACCGGTCCATCGCCGCCCATGACCTTGAATCTGAGTACGACCTGCCCTTCCCCTGGTTCGCATTAAGATACAGAATATCAAGACTGATGCGAGCCGACAGAATTTCAACCTGGCACCTCCCCCACATGAAGCTGTCATGATGGGTTCATTCCATGCCATCCCTTCTCGGTTCCCCGGACCGACGGATACCACGATCAAGCACCTGAGTCGAGCATCAGCGCAAGACCATCGCCAATCGTGAAGCCAGTGGCGAGTCCGACGGAGCGGGTAGGGCTGGATGGTATTATTGATTCAGGGTGCAGTGGTGCCGGCATACTCGCCCCTCGAGGATCGCCAAACATCCTCTTCACCCCCTTTTCCCCTGGGGCCGATTCTGAATAATGTATTTGTCAGGCTGCATCCATCCACAAATCGGTGCTGCTCCTCTCAGCTCCCTGGTCTAGCTTCTTCATGGTCCCGATACCAATCACGACGCGGCGCGTGTACCGAGAAGGTGCAGCAATCCCGCCCTCATACTGATGCTGCATGTGTCAGTCATGTCTGACTCAACAGCCGAACATGGACGACCTCATGGGGCCGCCGTAGGGCTGAAGCTGCTCCTATAATCATACGATCCCCTGTCAAGTCTGGAAAACTAGCCTTGGACGCAGCCATTTTCTTCTTCAGCAGTTTGAACCCATTTCATGGCATGACGACGCAACTCGACAGCGCTCACACGAAGTGGGAGCCTGGCTTGGGAAGTTCGAATCGGCATCAAACGGCACTCAACCCCTGACGATGCACCTGTATTATCCTTCAATCGAGTCGAGCCTGGCTTGCTTCAGCGCAACGGCCACCGCCACACTACGACGGTGCCTCGAAGAACAGAAGTTTGCACTCAAATCGGGCACCATGGAACCAGCCGGAAGCTGTTGTGAACATCTGATACACGTCATCCATTCGTTGGTACTTGAAGCGTGACAGCTTCCGAAACAGCAATACATCGAGGCTGCCGTGGATGGGAGGCTGTATACTCTGGAAGTTTCAGCGTCGCTACATGTCTCAGCTTAACGCGATAAATCTGTCACCATTCAAGCTATTTCCTGTAGAAACGCAGCATTTCTTCGAATTTGAGTGTTTTCCTAAGTGGCACCCTTGCCTAATGCAATTCGATGTAACATAGGTTCTCATTTGACAAGTGTTAGCGGTGGTCAAGTGGTTGGCCTTCGCCATAGCGAAGTCCTGAAGAGTAATAGGGGTCTGCCGTATATCCATCTTGGCATCTACTCAAGCTGGTCGTTCCCCGGACCGAAACACACAGCTAGATCTGCGAGCTCTTAATTCAAGACACCGCCAGCAAATGAATGCCGAACAAGTTAAAAACTCGTGTCGTTACATCGATGCGACATTAGGGGCATATTTCTGTGCCGCAGGGGAGACGGCGATCAATTAAGCTTATCGTCTTTCATAACTGGAGCTGGAAACTTGACTACAATGGTTCGTTGCACAAACCTTTGAAATTAAATGTGAAGTCCCGCCTCATTGCAGCATTTTTGGACTTGGATGGCTGACGACATTCTCGAATCGGTGACATACGGACCCTCCTGAAGAAGAACACGCCTTGATGCACATTTTGTGGCAAAAACATCGCACCCGGGAAACAGCCAAGACTGACGGGACAGTAGAAAAACGTTTGTATGATATCGTGGTATTCTTGCGGAAAGCCTCGAGGGCCAAGAAAAACAACAGCCAGTGAACGCCAGCCCAATGAACACTCATTTCAACCCCGCAACGAATGCAACCCAAGCTTGCTCATAGGCAAGAACGGAACTGTTGACTATCTGCAGTATGTCGACCTCAACGTCCTCTGTAGTCTGGCTTTCTGGCCATATTCACGGGCGGGGGTTCATCATCGGTAGGATATGGCAGAGGAGGAGCCCCATGCGGGCCTCGAGGCGACATCTGCCGCTCGGGTAGCGGCGTTTTGGGTGGTAGAGGAGGCGGGATGCGTTGCGGAAGCTGAGGCTGATGAGAAGGATGTTGCCCGTTCGACCCTTGCCATCGCGGATGCTCGTCAGGGCTCATGATAGCAATCTTATCGGCCCCTGCTGCGTGCCGGTACTGTGCTGGAGTCGGCGCAGTGATGACCAACTTGTCTGAGTCGGGAGAGGCCGGGTCAGCCACCGGTGGCGCCAGTTGAGCTGGGCGGCCCGACGGCGATCCCGTCATAGGCGGCGGTGAGTGCAAACGCTCGCCTGAGCTTCGGGGTGAAGGTGTTGCGCCGAAAGGCAGCTGGAGATTGTCGGTTCCAGATTCGTAGGACTGCCGGCTCCGTGGCGTGCCAGGTGCTGGCCAGCTAGGCTCATCACCTGGCAGCTCAACAGCGAAAGGCATGGACGTGTCGGATGACTTGACCAGTTCAGGTACATTTGGCAGGCGGGCCAAACGTTGATGGGCCTTGTGTATCTTGGCCATTTTGGATGTCGCGCCTTGTATCATCTTCTGTTCCGCCTCCCGCCTCAGGTATTGTCGTGTTCCGCTGCTGATGTCCGCCAAACGGTGCCATTCATTCATGCCAAACTCTCCAACTCCGATTTCCACATTGAGACGATAGTAGTTCTCGATGTTGACATTCCTGTTTGGCAAATATTCCGTCTTCATCCTCTCATGCGTCGTTTCACAGCCCTCGATTTTGGCGATCAGTCTTCGTCGGGCATCCGCATACTCGCCTAGGAAACCCTCGTACCACATTTGTTGGTTCGCATCGCTGCTCTTCGGCCGCCTTCCCGTTCCCACACTGACGAAGACGCCAATCTCCCGGCCTGGCCACTCATTAACAAGAGCCTCCTCCAAAGCTTCCGGAGCTGGGTTGAATGGGCCGGCGCCGTCGTCGTGGAAGACGGATTGCCCGATCTGAATAGGCTTGAAGGCGAGGCCGATAGCGCACGTGGCCCTGCCAGCTTCCCATATTTTGCAATCGAACTCCGGTGGTGGCTCTCTTCTCGAGTCGTAGGACCGAAGGACCATGGGGGCGCTGCTCTTGCCGGCGCCTTTGTACATGGTCAGAACAGCACTGCAATGGTGTTAGCCGGTGCTGGACTCATGGCCTGACAATAGGTTGGGGAGGATACTCACGTCTTGGTTCTTGTCTCTCTGGAGTCGTAAAGCCTCGCGTTCGGGTTCCCCCAACGGGAGTTCAAGACAGGGCGTGCCATCTGGGCCTGAGGACTCCGCGCACTGAAACTGACAACGCTGGCATTACTGGAATGACGTCGAGGACCGGAAGCCGTAGTGAGGGGGCTGACTGCGTCGGCCTGGGTGCCGTCATTGCCTTCCCTTTCGTATATGGTATGTTCTCGAACTGCTTCCTTGATTGCAGTTTCTAGACGAGAAGCCTTGAATAAGGTCGAACGATATGGTATGCCGGCAATGGTTTTGTCCGTCTCGAACACCATCCTTGTCATGCGAACATAGAGTTCCTTGCAGGTTTCGAGGTCGAGACGTAAACGCCCGAGCATCAAGGCGATGAGGCCGCCGGTGCCGGTACCAACGATGAGGTCGAAGTGGTCGCATGGCTTGGGGATCTGGTTTCGCCGAGGCGCATGCCCTTCGATTTCGACGTAGGTACGGTGCATAAGCTCCTGCACAATGATGAGCATCGAATAGCCACGGACGCCTCCTCCATCTGTCACGAGGCAATTGCCGTCAGCCAGTGTAAGGTGAAAAAGGTATATAGCAGCTAGTAGTGAGATCATGACAACAGTCTGCCTGAGCATTCTGCCACTTACCAAGCGACAGGATCCGAAGAGGAGGGCCCTTTGTGGTATCTTTTCGCCTGACCGCGACGGAATCCATTTTGCGGGAAAGTAGAGAAAAAAGTGGCCGTTTGAGGATGCAGAAAGAAGTGAGCTGTCGCACTTGCAATCGGAGGCGCAGGCGCAGTCACAGTCGCAGTCGCAGACGTAGATGGAGTCGCGGGCACCTCGATCGTTGATGCTATCGTCGTAATCACACTCGACAGGCGGGCCCCCTCCCCCCAGTGTTGATCGAGTGACGCGGGCACAGGCTTTCCGGGGGAGCAACGCGGGTTTGTTGGGTCACGAGTGACGCAAGGTAAGCTGGGCAAAAGTTGTCGTTGCGACGTTGGAGCAGATGCGCTACTTGGGGTTTGCGAACTGAGTACCTAATCGGGCGACTCGGGTTGCAGGTACTTCGGTCGGTGCTGTCTCGCGCACGTCGAAATGTGTTGGATGGCAAGCCCTTGAGGTTGTTTCTGCAGAGCGAAGAATTTCAGCCCTGTGATGGAGAAGAGAAAAAGAATACTGATTTGGTGGGAAGGCTGGCATCAGCTTACCTCAACGGAAGGAACGCCAATACGGATACGGGGGGGCTCGAATCCCATGTCCCATATCATGTCATCGTCGGTTTCTGGCAGGCGTACCTGAACGATACAGGCCAACATTAGCCACAGCGATGATGTACCTCCTTGGCGCGGCGCAGCTGGATGCTGACAGGGCAAGAACCGGACAGCAACGGGCAGGAGCTGGCGGGTCCCCAGAGCACGAGGGGCAACAGCAGCGGGGTACAGTTGACCTCAGTGTGGCTGTGTTTCCCTTGGCAGACCAGGCCCATGTATGACAGAAAGAGGTCAATGGCTCGAAAAGACGCCTGCCTCCCTCATTTGCCTCGCCGTCACACGCTGAAGGAGCGATGACTGGCTACGGGCTCTTGGCCTGCTGAACCCTGCAGCCCTGCAAAAAGGCGAGAAGAAGCGCAACCAACAAGAAGCGCGGTAGCAGAAGAGAGGCAACGGAAGGGGATGGCAGGGAGGCAGCCGAGATGTCCTTCTTCTCGGGCGTCCGCCCTCTTCTGTCGGGCCGCCACGAGACTGGCTGGCAAATGCATTGTCATCGATCGCTGACTGATGACCCGGCGAGGAAAGCCTTGGGGCACGAGGTGCGACTGAGAGACAAGTAGAGAGGTGCGAAGACAAACTTGGGCACCAATATTCACATGCACGAGCAGCCAAAGCGAAACACCGTGGGAGCGGTGAAGCTCCTGGCCTACACCTTATTTACGTGGCCGCACATGGCATGACCTCGCTCGACGTATCGCCTGTCTTCGACTGCGAAGTCCTCGATTGAGGACCTACCCACCTAAGGTATCTTAAAGTACGTAGGTAGGTGGTCAACTCTCTTGGCCATCTCCCTTCCTTCCTGCCGTACCTGGGGGCCGAGGTGGTTGTACAGCAAGGTGCCTTGTGTGCGGCCTGTGTAAGGTATGCCAGTCAATCGAGTGATGGTTGCTGTCGCTGCGGAATGATCACTTCGTCCGGTGAAGAAGATTCGTGATTGAAGCCGGACCAGTCTCATGTCGAGTGCAACTGCAACACTTATGCAAAATGTGCCGGCAGGCGGTAGACCATATGGCCTGCGTAGGGTAGGTATTTCCTGGGCGATGGGTGAAAGGCATCCCACCTTCAGAATGGCTCCTAAGGTGCCTAGGCTTGGGCCTCGATGGCTCAGAACATGTGGCACCACTGAAAGACTGCACTACAATGTGGCTGCAGAAGGCGTGGCCAGCAATGGAGTGTCTCCCCGCCCTCCCTCACCTCACCTCAGGTCTGTCGTCTTGCCGGGTCGTTGTTTTGGCTGTTTGACCCTGCCTCGCCGTCTGCCTGCCCGCCTTCCCCCCTGCCTGACATGGAAGAACAAACCTCCAGGTGACACCCGTTTTAGCCTTCTGCACCAAAGCCGCAAACCTTTGGGCATGTTTACATGGAGGCATGTCACACAAAAGGCTGGGGGGTTCGCCGATCCTCCAATCAGCAAGGCTCTCGCTGAATTCGGGCCCAGACCAGAAGTCTCTCGCAGTCCCTCCCCTTGAAGCCCCTCAAGCCCCTCCCCCCAACACGCTTGACAGCCACAGCCTCGCTGGGAGCTTTTTTGGAAGGCTCGAACCAGCCGACCAGCCTTACTATCGGGCCTCCGCCTTCGCCTTCGTCTAGCCCTCTCCCCCCCCAAAGCGGCCCCCCCCCTCCTCCGCCTGAACTTCGCTCCCTCATATCGGCCCATGGATCTCTGAACACTGCCGTGTGATTTTCGCGAACCCATTGTGCTCTCCTTCTATACGCTCGACCGACTCAACTGCCGTGACACCCGCAGTTGCTGCACATATAGTAGATGGAACAACCATCGCAGCCCTCCAAGAAGCGGCGTCTCATGCCCAAAGAGCCGCCCTCAGCACACAGCTCGAACCACCACAACCACAATGCCGACCCTCAACCAGCCTCGTTCCCCACAGAAGCGGTCAGCCCGTCACGAAATCCTAGAGCGACTCTACCGCATGTGTAGCTAATTTGTATTTTCAAGCAGACCCAACAACCGCTCGCCGCCCCCGAGGCGCCTCTCGCCGAACGCCATGACTTCGAGTCCTTTGCTAGGCACCTCCAAGATGCCGCCATGTTGATCCAGCGCCAAACCGAGCGATTGCCATATGCACATGTGTCTGTACTGCTACTAAGATGGGAGGAAGATACCACTGTCGAAGCGGACCTAGGCGCCCTCGAGACCATACTTCGCGACCGCTACAACTATGCCACTGAATGTTGGAACATTCCCACCGTCGCCAATCCCAGCATCAAGCTCGGCGTACAGATGGCCTCCTTCCTGGAGCACGGAGCCCCCGATCATCTTCTCATAATTTACTATGCCGGTCATGGCTATTTTGGAGCGGACAATCAGCTTTATTGGGCCTGGTGAGTCGGCATGCCGCTATTGGACCGCCGTCTTCGTGTGTCTGACCGCTTTTCCGTCCAGCAACACTCGTGACGATGCCGCAAAACTAAAATGGGACGGCGTGCGCTGTCTCTTCGAAGATGCCCAATCGGATATTCTACTGCTCCTGGACTCTTGCTCAGCGCGAGATGTGCCCCTGTCAGGGAGCCACGGCATCAAGCAAGCCATTGCCGCATACACGCCTGATCAGAATCCTCGCGATTCCCCCGGCCGGTCGTTCACGTACCTGCTGATTGAAGCTCTTCACAAATTGAGTGCCGGCAGGATATTCAGTGTGAAAAAGCTACATGACGAGGTCATGTCGCTGAAGCAGCAAGAACTTGCGTCTGCTCTCAAACTGGCCAACGGGAATGTGACGAGCCCACGTCCAGCCATTGTCGCCCCCGTACTGTTTACCCTAACCCCCGGAAAGGACCAAAGCTTGAGCCTAGCTCCCTTGCCGGCCCGGACAAACCGGCTGCTATCGCCACGCGCAGGTGTCGATGGAGAGACAACACCGTCCAGACTTTCACGAGAGGACCAGCTCATTGACCCGGAATCAGTTTCAGACTTGCGGTTTGACGAAGCAAGAGTTCTTGTCTGCACAACATTTGTTGGGGATGCCAGTCCAGACATGTCATCATTCAATGGCTGGTTGCGCAACACGCCGCCCTTGGGGGCCAAGATCACAGTCGAAGGCATGTTTTTGGGCCCGCCGACTATGCTATTGATCTCTATGCCGCACTCTATCTGGAACGTTGTGCAGCACGATAAAGTCTGCTGCTTTCTGGGCTACATCAGCTCTCACAACATGATACATCTTTACCAAAAACTTGTCGGATCCACAGGTCATGCTCAAGCTTCAATTAGAGATGTTCAGGATGGCCGGACCCTTCTGGAAGCAAGAGAGCTTGCAGCGACAGCTTCGGGACGGCACAAACGGTCTGTTGACAGTAAGGACGGGCCGTTCCAGGATACTGTAAGCCGGTTGGACGCGCCGCCTGCCGCCATGTCTGCAGCTCTCTCTTCAGGCCCGACGGGGCCGATTGATGAGAAACATGAAGTGGAGGACTCTGCTGAGATGCAGGAGGCAGCAGAGCAGCTCAAAGCCCTCAGCCATGTGCGGCACCTCAGTGATGAGGCTGGTCCTTTGGTAGAACGGCAACGCACCACGCTTCCGGACGGCGCAATGCACCCGAGCCCTGGGGATACGGGCTCATCACATGATGCTAACGAGTCTGGTGCCGACGAATCTCTTCACATTGCTGAACTCAGCACGCCGAATTCTCGACCGAAGCCTCGGCGGTCTCTCCAGAAGTCGACGCCTAGGCAGGAGACGCGATGCACGCTCTGCAGTCACGAGCCGTTTAAGGATTCTTCGTCATTACGAAAACACATTGCTGCGGCTCATACGCGACCGTTCCCGTGTGCCTTCTTCTTCGCCGGCTGCGCAAGTACCTTCGGTTCGAAAAATGAGTGGAAGCGCCACATTGCATCTCAACATCTTTGTCTGCAGTACTATCGGTGCTCTTCGTGTCCACATAGCACAGCAGAAGGGAAGGGCAATGAGTTCAATCGAAAGGATCTTTTTACGCAGCACCTCCGACGTATGCATGCGCCCTTCGCGATCAAGAAGGCTATTGCGAAGGGCGATGGCAAGTTACAAGCCGAATGGGATGGCCACGTCAAGGAGATGCAGCAGTCCTGCCTCGTAACGCGCAGGCTGCCTCCTCAGCGTTCCGCCTGTCCGAAACCAGACTGCAAGAGTGTTTTTGAGGGGCCTGGGTCGTGGGATGAGTGGACAGAGCATGTCGGCAGGCATATGGAAAAAGGTGAAGGCCAGCGGCTAGGTGTAGACCGCCTGCTTGCTAAGTGGGCGCTGGAAGAGAACATCATTGAGCGCCAGGAGGATGGAGAGTACCGTCTGTTGCCCGTCAACGGCACGCTTGACGGCAATCCGAGAGAAACAGGACGGGATGCGATGTCAACACAGATGCCCGATACGAAATCAGAGGATATCGAAACGACAAAGGCTGTCGCGGAGCACACAGAGGACAAGATGGAGGTGGACAACTGAGACTGGGCAGCACTTTGCTCCTCGTGCTTCGTCTGGCGCCCAGCGGCGTGCACTACGACTTGTGAGAACTGACTGAACGACTGATATGAGATATGATTACCGACTTACATTTCTTGACGCGATTTGCTTTATGTATTTCGGCAGCAACAGCAAGGCGACTTTTGTGGGCGGAAATAGGAGTTTGCTGCTTTTTGGGGCAGGATTGGTAGTTTAACGAGAAACCAAAAATGGCTGCCGATGTGGCAGCTTCAGGGGAGACGAGGCGATACCTTACGTAGCAATGTGTGCGGTGAATGTATTGCTGTTCATATCGTATATCTTTCACGGGAAGCACGTTGAACAACCAATTGATTGACCTGGCTTGTTGCCTTCCGTATCGTGACATGCGGCTTCCATGTGGCGGCGCATTATGTAAGATGCTTCCTCAAGATGCCCGCCCGCCACAGCATTATGAAAATACCCGAGCGTAAGCTACGTGAAGCATTGACACTTGCAGCCTGCCATGATGATCTCACCCCTCGACACACTGGCTCATGTTCTTCGACTCGAAATACAAACTCCTTCTTCCCGCTGGTCACCACTTGTCCGAGTGTTGACGTGTCGCCGCTCTGCGACAATCCATACCTGATCGCTGTCTGGCACTCAATACGATGCCGCCGCCAGATCCGAAGGTCCAAGATCCAAGTGGTCTTCAACGCCATTGTCTCATCACCATTGGCGCAACGGCCCGATTCACGCAGCTTCTCAAAGAGACAATCGACACGCCCTTCCTTAACGTGCTTTGTGCGCAAGGGTTCACGCACCTCACCATACAATGCGGCAAGGATATCGACTGGTTCCGCGATGAAGTACAAGCTCTTGCCACCCGATCAACGCTTCACATGTCGACGTTTGATTTTGTGGACGATCTCACTCGCAAGATGACTCTGTGTCGTGCCGAGACGAACAAGCGCCGCGATGGCCTTGTCATATGCCACGCTGGTAGGTTGAAACTTGTGTTGTCTCGATGCCTCAACAAGCTAACCTGCTCACGAAAGGCACTGGCACCATTCTTGATGGTCTCCGCATCAACGCCCCGCTCATTGTGGTGCCGAACCCGACGCTCAAGGACAACCACCAGGAGGAGCTGGCCGAAGAGATACAGAGGCAAGGCTACGCCATCTGGGGCCGCCTTGGCCAGCTTGACTACGCCCTCGAGCAGTCGGCGCTGCTCTGCGCCAAGAACGCCAGCACGTTCCGCTCGCACCCACTGCCCGAGGGCGCGGCAGGCAAGGGCCTCAACATCTGGAGCGTCAGCAGTGCCATGATGAGCAGGTATCGTGAGCCCGACGATGCCCCTTCGCAGCGGCAGGCAGAGGAAGGGCCCACTGGATCGTCCGCAGAACAAGGGCGTGAGGAAGCTGTCCATCTGAGCATGGACTAGGAAGCTGCGCAGATGACACGACGCGATCAGGGCAAGTCGGCCAACGTGACATGATGAATGAATGGTTAGCGGGTCCCATGTTCCGTATTCAAGTATGTGCAGTCTATTTGATCCTCGCAGGAGTCACGGAAAGGCAAATGGAATTCGGAGGTCATAAGATTGTCATTTCTCATTGATGAAGTAAGATCGATGTAGCTAGCTTCACTAAGATACCCAGCTGGCTCACGGCAGAGAGGCGATTCCCCAGATCTTGACAGCCGCATCAGCGCCGATGCTGGCCACCTTGTCACCGCCGACCCACGCCACGCCCGTGACGCCCTCGAGGTGCGCACCTTCAGCCTTGACCTTACGTCCGGGGCTCGCCAGGCTGTAGATCACCACGTCTGCGCCGCGAGATCCCGACACAACGTGCGTTGTGGCGTCGTTCCAGGAGATACAGGTAATCTTGTTCCTGTTGTGCGCTGCCCAGCGATCAGTGCACTTGGCGGCAATTTCCCACGAGCTGGTGTCATATGGGTCGATGTTGCCGTTGTCGTTGCCGGCAGCAAGGTATTTACCGTCCCTTGAAAAGGATAGGTAAGAGATGGGATGCGTGGACCGGTCGAGCGACTTGCTTTCGGCGAGCTTGCCAGATGAGTCCGCCTTGTAAACCTTGACCGAGTTACCAGCGCCCACGGCGATGGTAGAGCCGAAGGCGGCAATAGCGCTGGGACCGTATCCATAGCGATTCTCAGTAACCAGCTTATTGCCCTCAAACACGTCAACGCCGTCCACAGTCGCGACAAACACGCGCCCGCCTGAGACGGCCACACCTCGCGGCTGCGAGGAAAGTGACACGCCGTCACCTTCGTGAACGCCCGTAGACTCGTCAATGGTGCGAAGCTTGTCGTCCCAGCCCACACTATACGCCCGACCTTCGGCGGCCGCTAGCTGGCTGATCTGGTTCGTGTGCGCTGAGCCCTCGACTGTGGTGCCAACTCCGCTGCCAACATCCCATTTGCAAATGCGACCTTCGAAGCTGCCGGTCCAGAGCGTCTGGCCGCTACCATCAGACGCGGCGCTCAGGGCCGTGACGCTCTTGTTGTGACCCTGGACCACCTTGGATGGCTTGGTGCTGTTGGGGTACAGGTAGAGCAGATCACCATTACGGTTGATGCTGATGATGAGGCCATCAGTCCTGCCGTGGGGGTAGACAACACCAAACTGTTGGCTGCCGAGATCCCACGTGTGCTTCGCGCTGCCAGCCTCCAAGCCCCAGAGCTTGACGGTGCCGTCCGCACTAGCCGTGACGAAGGTCTGGCTGTCCTTGGCCCAGGATACAGCCAGAATACTGCCCTTGTGCTCACCGTCCGAAATCTGAACCTTGGGCTCGCCGGTCTTGCCATCATAGAGCTGGATGCGCCTGTCGGCTCCGACCGTGACTAGATGGTTGCCGTCAGGTGAGAATGCAGTGCCAAAGACAAAGTTTGTATGAAGGTCAGCGTGCTTCGAGTTGAATTTGAAGGGGGCGCCATGGAAGAAGCACATTGTGCCGTCGTCAGACACGGTAGCGGCGCGGAGTGGGCGCTGCTGGCGCAGAGCAACAGCGTTGATGGACTTGGAGTGGCCGCTGATCTCGCCCACGGAGTTGCCGCTGTCAGCAGTAATGCAGGCGCCGAAACGCTCGCTGCCCTTGCCTACAGCGATGATGCGTTGCGAGTCACCGTCCCACGCAATGTCTTTGATGGGCCCAGAGATAATATGATATTCGCCTTTGGTGTTGACAGCCTCAATAGCATCCCAGACTTTCACGGCGCCAGTTCGATCACCGCTAGCAATGTAGAATCCGCTAGGGGAGAATCGAGCAATGGTGGTCGTGGCGTTCTTGTGCCCGTTGTACTGTTTGCAGAGGGACGGCTCGTCGATAGATCGCACGAAGATGGATTTCCCGGACTGGAGATGGACACGCGATTAGCTTGATGCGACAATATCCCAATCACATGCGCAGGGTATCTTCCTACAGCGTATGCTATCCGCTCGCCTTTGCTGTCAACGGAGAGCTGGGTTGGTTGCAGGCCCTCGTCAGACCCAAGGGGGTTGATCGCTGGCGTAGGAGCCAGGATCTTCTCCAGCGTGAGGGACATGGCGAGCCGTGAGAACAGAAAGGGTCAGATTGGTAACGATGAGAGAGTTCAAGGCTCTATGTACTTCACAGACACAACTCTCTGGCTGGAAGTGTTTGTATGCTCGTTGAACAGGAGGACGCAGATCGGTTAGGAGGCAGTAGGCAACACAGCTCCTAGGCGACGATCAAGGCAAGGGTTGGCGGGGCAGTTTAGTGGAAATGGCCAAGTCAGTCAACCCCTGACACGGGAGGCGCGGTGCCTGGACAAGCAGGTGCGGGGCAGACGAGACCATCGGTGCCAGACGCAAGAAAATGACGTATCTAGCTAGATTCCCAGGGGTGCCTAAGGACCTCCGAGAGGACAAGATGTTCCTGAATCGGTATGATACTTTCATAAATTCGCAACAATTAATGCGATATTGAGACTTTTGATTCCCAGGAGCTGGCGAATGATGCATCGGCTGCCCACAGCTCCAAATTGAGAACCTGTGCAGCTTGGAAGGGGCCCCATTCACGGAGTGCTTGTGGTTACATGTCAAATCCCCTCTTGTCATTCCCCCAACGTCCCGTAAGGTATCAACCGACTGATCGGCTGGTCTTCACAACAAGATAGCTTCGGTACGGCCGATTCTCACCTTTCCCGGGTAGCTCAATTGGTTAGAGCTTTGGACTTTTAGGCATCAGCATAGCAATCCAAGGGCTGTGGGTTCGAGTCCCACCTCGGGAGTATCCTTTTGGGTGGAGTTTGAATATTTTTGTCACCAAACTCATCCCATCACCACCTGGTTGCACTGGCATTCTTAGATTATTTCCATGCTTTCTTTTTTCTTCTTCCAGCGCTGGTGATCAGGTTCGGACAACAAAAGACAGGAGCCATAGTCTCTTTGTGTAACCAGTACCTAAACCTTCTATACGAAGGTCTGAAGCATACCGTTGGCAACAGAAATAATACAAGACAAATCGCACTCTCTCTCCTGACTCGTCGAGCCGGACAATATCCCGTCAATCCGTTTCATACCTGACCAAACGCCATGTCTACCATGTCACGAGCCCTGACTGCCGGGCTACCAGACCAACTCGCTGCCAGTCATACCTTGCCCCCAAGAACAAACTTCAGTAACTCTTACTTCTTTTTTCCCTTGGCTTTGGACTTGGAAGGCCCATTTGACTTGGTGGATGCGACGCTTGACGCCCTTGAAGGAGCTGCAGAAGTACTCTTGCTGCCTGCTTCTGACTTGATGTTGTCGAGCGCTTTGTTCTGTGCTCTGGGTGAGCTACTTGCGATTTCACAGATATCAACAGGGGGGCTTACCTTGACTCCGTTCTTCGACTTCTTCTTGGATGGTGCCATACCCAACACACTATCCTCGTCGTTTTCGTCGTCATCAGCATCCCGCTTGACCTTGCCGTTCGCCCCATTAGCGCTCTTGGTTGGCTGAACGTCCTCAAACTCCTTGACGATTGTGGTAAGCAGTGTCGTACACCGCCGACTGAGCTCAACAGGCGTACGGCTGAGGAAGAACCAGTCGAATCGGAAGAGAGGGGATTCTGCGATCTCCTGCTGCATCGTCTCATAGAGGCCCGGCGTGTCGACGCCGTGGCGATCAAGGAGCACCAGGAGAAACCGGTCTTCTTCCTCAGTATACACTTTTTTGTTGGTGGTAGAGACCGAGTAGTTAATCTTGAGTTGCGTGAAGGGGACGCGGTACTGCTGCATCTTTCTTCGCAACAGCTTGCGCTGGTGCTCAATCTTGCGCATGCGCTCCTCTCCGTCCTCAATCGTTTTGAGGTACTTTGTGTAGTCTGCAATCTCGCTGTATCGCTGCCAGAAAACCTTGGCGTATTGCTTGACTTCAGCAGCCTCCTTGTGGTCAATGTCGCCGGCGATGCTCTCGTAGTCTGTCCTGCCGTATCGACCCGAAGCGTTGACAAACTGTTGGAAGTCTCGTCGATTCCAATCGCCAAAGCCTTGCTGTGACAATTCTGCCTTCTCCTCCTGTTCCTCTTCAGTCAGGGGCGTGGCGTTGTCTATCTCTTCTTGATCAAGAGCACGTTCGGCCTCGCGATCTGATACATTGTCGCCCTCGCCCTCAGCCAGCGGAACCTTGTAGCCAATCTCTTTCCGGTAGTACGCCGTCTCACGATCTTGCAGATCTCGGAGTCTTGGTGGGAAGAATTGCCAATCGTGAGCAACGACTTGCTTAGGGGCCCTGGGGGCCTTAGGCTTGTTGTCCTTCTCCTTTGGCGGGTACATCGTCTGCCTGAAGTAGGCATCCATGGAGTAGGATTGTTCTTTGCGCTCGCGCTTGGTCGGATTGATCCACGTCATGCCAATGTCCTTTTTCTGACTCTTGAAATCCTCGCCGTTCCAGTTGTAAGCAGATTCAGATGTGAAGTTCTGCAAATCGTCGATTCCGAGCTTCTCGTATTTGGCATTGAGCTCCTTTGTACGACTTTCACCGAATGCCAAAATCTTGTCGATGTCATCGTCACCAACGCTGTCGCCCTCTGCCGCTGCATCAGTCGCGCCCTTGCTGTTGAATACCTTCTCGGCGCCGTGTTGAATCATGGAAAGCAGCTCGTCCTTGTTGGCCGCAGCCTTGGCCGCAGCCTGTGCTCGACCCTGCTGGATGACGAGTTGGTCCAAACGGAGCTTCTGAGCTGCCCTCTCCAAAACCTTCTCCTCGATAGCGTTATCGGTGACAAATCGATAGACTACGACCTGCTTTGTCTGGCCGATACGGTGAGCGCGATCCATAGCCTGCAGATCGGCCTGCGGATTCCAGTCACTATCAAAGAGAATGACAATGTCAGCAGTCGTGAGGTTAATACCGAGACCACCCGCTCTTGTTGTCAACAAGAACACGAACTTCTCGGATCCAGGCTTGTTGTACTCGTCGATGGCAGCGATTCTGTCTTCGTGGGCTGTGCCACCGTCGATTCGGCAGTACTTGTACTCCCTGAACACACAATAGTCCTCGAGAATGTCCAGCAAACGGCTCATCTGCGAGAAGATCAAGACTCGGCTGCCCTGCTGTCGGAACTTGACAAGCAGCTTATCGAGGACTTTCATCTTCGCGGCATTATAAATCAGATGCTCGTCAGTCGTATACGGAGGACCGGGCTCAGCACCTTCGAACAAATAAGGATGGTTACAGCACTTTCGCAGCTGCATGACAATGTTGAGCAATCGGGTCTTGGACTCGCGTTTGCCGCCAGCCCCATTGACTGCGTCGATGTCCTTTTCAAGAATCTTCTTGTACCACTTGACCTGCATCTCAGACATGCCGAGGTATACATTGACTTCCTTCTTCGGCAGCAGGCTCTTCTCGACATCAGCCTTGACACGGCGCAAGAGGAAAGGTCTCAACACGCGGTGTAGTTGCTGAACAACTGTGTCCTGGTCTCGGTCCTGGCCTGAGAACCACTGGTCGAAGGCTTCCGAGTCACCGAACACGTCCGGTAGCAGAAAGTTGAGGAGAGCCCACAGCTCGTGCAAATTGTTCTGAAGGGGTGTACCGGTAATCAGGAGACGGTTTCTCGAGTTGAAAAGACGAATGACCTGAGCCAGCGACGACTCTTCGTTCTTGATTCGATGCGCTTCGTCAATGATGATGTACTCCCATGCGAACTTCTTGAGGTGGGCCTTCTCGCGGAGGATCATCTCGTAACTGGTGACGCAGACGTCAAACTTTTCCTCTACCAAGCGCTCATTGATCAGTTGCTGACGCTCCTCCTTGGCGCCTTGTAGGACCAAGACATTGACCTCGGGTGTCCATTTCGCGAACTCTCTCTTCCAGTTATCGAGGGTGGACTTGGGGACAATGACGAGATGGGGTCCAGTAATGCCCATGATGTGGCGAAGATACCCGAGGAAGGATATCGTCTGCAATGTCTTGCCAAGACCCATTTCATCGGCAAGGATGCCAGAGATACCGTTCTCGTGCAGTGAAATCAGCCAATTAAGACCGGCAACCTGGTAGTCTCTCATTTCACCCTGAATGAAAGAGGGCGATTCTCGAAAGACAACCTCAGCTGATCCGCCATGTTTCTCGTCGCGGAGAAGTTCGGCATCCTCTTCTGCCTCAGTTCGACGGCGTCTTTCATTGGTGGCACCACCCTGACGAGCGCCAGCCTTCTTGCTCTTTGTAGCTTCAGCGTTCTGACGATCAATCTCAATCATGATGTCCCGAATCTTAGGGTCGGGATTGGTTTCGATGAAGTGGCGGAACAAGTCAGTTAGGCCGAGCAGGTACCGAAATCTCCGGAGAGTGTCTTCTTCCTGTTTGAACATCCATGCATCAGCATCATCTCCATCAAACGCAATCAGGGCAAAAGGCAAGATTTACCTTTGATTCTCCAAGGCGGTCGTGTTTCCTGCCAAAAATACTGCGGCGGAGCTGATTCGCCTCGGATCGTTTCTTGCGTCCATCGGGAGCCGCATCTCCAACCACGCTACTCGCTGTCGTGTTGGGATTGGTATCTGAGTCGGTGTAGTCGGGAGTTTCGTCAACCTCCTGCACAATTCTTAGTTAGCTCGTGTGCGCGCAACACTTCTCGGTACGAAGACGTAGCCATGACTGGTATTGGGAGCGGAAAGGGGAAAAAATAATTGAACGAACCATGCGGTCTTCGCGACGAGCGTCTGGAGCATCCGACATAGATGTATCTGTGTCCACAGCACTGGGGCGTGGTCTTGAGGGAGGCATCGCAACAATCGAGTTTCGCTTTACGCGACTGCGACGCGTTCGAACAGTGTTGGCAGGCAATAGAGGGGGGGTCGGGTAACGACAATCCGAGGCCGTGCAACCAGGGTAATACTTCGTGTCGTGAATGTGCCTAGCGAAGAATTCGTTGAACAAAAGGCGACAGTAGTTGGCTGAGATATGAGGTCCCCGTCGTGTTGAGGGAGGAGGGAAGGTGGAATCGCAATTCACGGCCCTTAGAGCTGTGAGCTGCAGGGTCGATACGGTACTAGGATTATATCGGGGCCATCGGCATTCCCGCCACTGGTTCAGTCAGTGGTCTGAGCGCTCCCACGGTCGGCCTCTGAGGGCTTGCCAGGCAGCGTGGTCCGGGGCTCGGAGGTCGGATTAACTCTCCAAGCGACAGCCTGATGGCGTCAGTCACGCGGGCGGGACCGTCTAGCGGCTACCGCCGTGGCGGCGGCCATGCACCACTGGTCCCTCCTCTTTCATGTGCCCTGAGCGCCCGTAGGTAATGCAGTCAACGCCGAGTCATCAACATCAATCAAACACGACCTCGACTACACTTTCCGACCACGCCACACACGAGATCGCTTGGTTCGACGTCGGTCAAATTTGAACGCTTCTTTTAATATTGTCCCCCCTCCTGCGTTCATACTATTCACTGTTGCCCGCTATCCTCCTCAGGCTGTGCATCTGCGCCCTCACATAGCAACCTTGCCTACCCACTTTAGGCACAACAGCGATAGGCTGTACCCCACTGCACCCACTTGCTGAAATCAAGCCCTTCGGGTGTTCCAGACCTGTCAACCCACGGCATTTTGCGAAAGAGCAACGACGTAGGTCGACAGAAAAGCTTTGGTCTCTCTCTTTGCGAGACATCACCGACGGACCGCCTCAAGCCTTGGAGTGGCTCATCGAGACCACGCAACATGGACTCCATGCGGAGTTTAAATACATCCCTGCCCGGGTCATCGGGCCAGAAGCAGACAACACAAAATGACTCTCCCGAGCAACTCCTCGATGCTTTCAAGGCTGCCGCCCTCTCTGTCACAAAGCTTTACAAGACCTCTGCAGCTAGCCAGGCCAAAGCACGTCTCGACGGATACCAGGATTGCTTGGACGACCTTCTCGCCTTCCTCGACAAAGGAAATCTGGGTGTGGGCGACGGGGAGGGTTGGAGGGTTCGCAAATGGGCCACCGAAAGACTCGACGGTCGGGACTCTCCATCGCAGACAGCCGAAAGCGAGGACGAAGATCAAAAGCCAGAGAGAACCTCTTCGCCGGAACTGACACGAACGGTCAGCGGAAACCCTCAATCAACAATGCGCGAGGACAGTCAAACTCAAACAGAGTCGACACCACCCACCGCTTCCCCGGCTCTAGTCGACAACGCGCAAGTCACTGTTCCAAGCCAGGATAGCTTCACTTTCCAGTCATCACACCCTTACCCGCAAGATGCGTATCTCAACATCGCAAACCTCGACCTGTCCGATTCTCGCGGTCACGACTCGCTTCCGTCGCATGTTACTTCCGTTACCTCCACCACCACCAACGCTCCCACCAATCGTGCCTCTCGATTACGACACAACGGTGTTGGAGCGAGACTAGGGGCCAGGCAAGCCAACCAACTTGGGCGCGGGGCTGGATCAAAGAGAAAGATCAATCTTGGCGAGATATTCGACCTGGGCAGCCTCGGCCACGACAAGAACATGTTCGGCGGCGGAAGCAAGCGAAGTCGGCACTCCTGATGAGTGCAAGATCTAAAGTACAGTTTATGAGCTCACGCAAAGTACGCGTGCACGAGCACGCGGAACTCTTGTCACAGCGATCGGGGGTTCCGGAAGGGTAGCGTACGCAATTCAAGAGGCGTCAAAGCATAGCATGGGGATCAACACGGTAAGCATGAAAGGCGGCAGGCGTTGGGACGATCCATGATGTGCATTTGTGGTGTTGGGATTTTTGATCTTCCGGTAGCGATAGGTGTGCTGTTGGCGTCGCAGCTTGGGGAGGCCTTCTGGCAAAAGTTTGTCATGAACGACGCCAGGAGTGTCTTTCTTTTCTTTGTATCCCTTACCAATGATGAGCTCCAAATGCTCCAGCGTCGTGTCTCACTCGCCACTTTGTCCCTTGTGCAGCATCGATGGTGATGCATCGTGAATTGCTGTGTGAACTGAAGCCAGCCCGCCGGACCCTTGTGTTGACTGGCACGTGAATACGATACTTGCCTGCTAACATGAAGGGTCCGCATAACTGCGGGAGCTTTAGGCAACTGTCCTTCAGGCATCGACCGCTATTCCCTTGCGACCAACATGTACTCATACCGTAGCGGTGCGCATGTGACCGAAGAACGAACATGGGAGCGCAACTTTCAGTCCAGATGGGAGTAATGAGGAACGGCAAATATTGAGCCGACAACTCGAAAAAGGCTTGATTTGCGATTTAGGTCGCTTCAGAATGCACAGTCAACAACAGCCCCTGCACTTATGGAGAGAGACCACTTTGGGTTGTATTTAGCTGCTGGGCAGTGGCTTTCTTGGGACTTGTGAGTCATCTCCATCCCAACAATGGTCTTGTTGCGTCAAGGCCAGCTCACCTGATCCTCAGGCTTGCTGGCGTGAACCAAGTCGGCACCGGCATCCCATACTCTCAGGTTGCCTGGGGCCGGAGCCAACCCGCTCGCAATACGCTGCTCATCTGAAGGCAGGGTCAAAGCAAGCTGGTGCAAGTGGAGGAACGTATATTCCACGGTCGCTTCCAGATGCCGTCAATACATCACCTGCTGGACAACCCTCTCCCGAGTTGAACATCTCTCATTCGGCCGGCTTTTTGTGGTGAATGCCCTAAATTACAAACCCATTGAATCTAACCGGCCATCCCACATCTCGAGATTCCCAGAACGCCGAACTATGCCAAGTCCCGAAGAGGGAATGGAAGACAGACAAACTTCACCCTTTTCAAAGTCTCTGCCTCTCCACCTCGTACATGAAGTCAAAGTAGCCCTTGTCGAACTGGTGGACGCGGACATAGCCGTCCTCACCACCACTTGCGTAGCCCTTACCCGTAGGGTCCGCCGCAACTGTGTTCTGATTGGAAAGTCAGCACATGCCCATGCCAGCGGTGTCAAGGTGAGACAGGTGCGGGGATTGGGGACTTACCAGGGGGCCGAAGTGGCCACGGACACGGCCAACCTCTTCCTCAAAGACCTTGTGGTAGAAGCGAGCCTCAAACTTTCCTTGCCTTGCGGAGGTGGTGGTGACATCCATGGCGGCCTGACCACCACCGAGGATGACGAAGTCCTTCCTGGGGGTGATGGCGGCACTGTTGAGGGGGGTATCGGCGGGGTAAGTCTTCAGAACCTCGAGGTCCTTAGTCGTGATGAGCTGGCGAAAGAGTTAGTTGGGCCGTACATGTAGATCAGATGCGGAAGCATCATGTGCGAACCTTAGCAGTCTTGTCCTTGCTGGCAGTGATGAAGTAGGTACGGTCAGGCGACCATTGCAGGTCCGTCACGGGTGTGTTGAGCTCGTGAACGGGGGCGTTGTAGAGGAGATCGCCCGTCTTGGCATCGAACTGCGATACGGAGCCATCCTCATGGCCAGCAATGATGTACTTGGTCAGGAAGCTCCAGCCTGCGACGGTAGCCTTGCTCTCGTCGCAGACGATGGTCAGGACCTTCTCGTCGCTCTGCTCGGCCTCCACATCAGGGTTGATGTCGACGACGACAATGTTGCTGAGGTAGCCCATGCGCTTCTCGGTGACACCAAGCAGCTTGGTACCGTCTTCGTTGAACTCGACGCGCTTGACAGCAGTGGGGAACTCCCAGGTCTTGAGGCACTTGCCAGACTTGACGTCCCAAAGGCGCATGGTGTTGTCGGCAGAACCGGAGGCGATCATGGTGCTGGTAGGGTCGACATCGACGGTCCAGATGGCGCCGACGTGGCCGTGGTAGGTGCCGAGACGCTCACCATTGTGTGCGTACCAAGCACAGATCTGCTGATCCTTGGCGACAGAGAAGATGAGGTCGCCGTCGAGATTGTACCTAATCGGGCGAGTTAGCCGACTGCCCCTCCTTATGACCACTGCCATGCTCGCGCTCGGATTGGTGATATGACATGGTGTCTTTGGGGTGTCGCGTACTTGATCTGCGTGAGGGCACGCTCGTGGCCGGCGAGAAGAATGGGCCTCATATTGACGGAATTGAGCTGGGATTCGATGGCTTGTGTGTCTCGTTTGCAATATCGGGTTCAAGGGTGGCCAAGTCGCGGGAAGGGGATCGCTATTTGAAGTCGCTCGTTGCTGGTCGCTGCTGAATTTTTGGCCTCCGCACAGCAGCGTCTTTCACGTCTGGTTGTGGGTTTGGGTTTCTAGTGGGGCCAAAGGAATCCCCTCCCCGCGATTGTCGATTCTGCCGTGCCTCATGCTGACCGCCTGGCTACATTGGGTGATGACTCGACGGCTGAGTCAGCGGCTATTCGCCTGTCTATCTTCTCGTGGTTGCTGGCATCCGTCCTGACGCGGCAAACCAAGCGTGATGCGAGACCAAGAGCTTTCGACTGACAGCTGTGACCATATCTACCCTCGCCGCTCTTCAGCACTGACTCGAAATCTTTCAATACGAGTGTCGTTTTATCACACCAGAAGACGGCCGCGATACCGCCACGACCGGCCGACGCCCATAGCCTTGTCCGGCCAACTAGGACCCAGACTAGCTGGCATCGCGCACCGTCTATCAATAACGTCTCAAAGATGATGACGCCTTAGAAAGCGTGTTCCGATTATTTTTCTACTTTGTTGTCTTACACCCTGTATTCATATTGTATACTTGCCTGTCCATCAGATTAAGGGTCCCTGTTCTTCGTGCTGGGTAGAGTGGTCTCACATGCTTGACGACAAGTTGCTAGCTACCACCAGCCAATCATTCTTCTCACTTTTTGTTTCTTCACATACCTGACTTGATAGGATCTGGTCTTCGTCCTCGAGGCTTCTCGGGGCTGGAGTGACTCGTAGTGTTATCCCAAAAGTCAGTCATTGACCGGGAGTCGCACGACAAGTCACCTGGGGCCCTCGATTCAAGGCGGGTTGAGTCACTCTAAAGTGTGTTGTCGAGACGCCTCTGACGCACAAAGTGAGGCCAATGCCATTTGTGACAGACGTAGCGCCCAGGATGCGTCGTGCTCTACCTGTCGGTCACCGTCGAGAGTGGTTGGTGACACACACCATTGCAAAGCCCGCAGCAGCAGGCAGGTCACTGGCAAGATTGGGGGGTCCATCCGGTCGTCCATCCATGCACGATTCGTCAACGAATCCCGAGCTTGGCCGACTTCTCACCGATCACAGGCGCGGCTCCGCCTTTGCCTTAGGACCCTCAGCGCTCTCCACCCCAGATTCCCGCTCGTCGTCACTCTTGCCCATTGCCAAAACCACAACCTCCCTTTCGCCCGGTGTCTCGCCTCTGCGATTACGACTTGTCTCGAGCGTTTCTTCCCTGTTCAACCACCGTTATCCCTGGCGCCCGCGGCCTTTTACCACAGCTGCATGCACCATGGCTGCCAACAAGATCGATGGCACAGCCATTGCGAAGAAGATCCGCGGGGATCTGGCCGCCGAGGTCCTCGAGCGACAGAAAGCCAACCCCAGATTCCAGCCCTCGCTGAAGATTATCCAAGGCAAGTACTCGGCGTGAATACTTTGTTCAACGTCTTTGCATATGATTTGGCGAGGCTAATTGTGTGTTTGCTGTGCAGTTGGTGACCGGTCTGACTCTTGTTCGTCTACCCCTCCCCCGCGCTGGAAATCCCCATTGAAACTTATCACCCCGCAGCCACCTATGTTCGCATGAAACTGAAAGCTGCCGAAGAGGTACACCACCCTTTTGCCGCCTCCATCGTCGCTAAGCTGAGTTGCTGACAATGTCATACTTTGCTAGGCCAACATTCAATGCGAATTACTACACTTCCCCTCTACCATCTCCGAGCCCGAGCTCCTCGATCAGATCTACCGCCTGAACAACAACCCTGAGGTCCATGGCATCCTGGTTCAGCTGCCTGTCCCTGAGCACATTGACGAGTACGCTGTGACTTCGGCCGTCGCTGACGAAAAGGATGTTGACGGCTTTGGCACCACCAACATCGGCGAGTTGGCCAAGAAGGGCGGTCGGCCCCTCTTCGTGCCTTGCACCCCCAAGGGTGTCATGGTCCTGCTCCAGCAGACTGGCGTCGACTTGAAAGGCAAGAATGCCGTGGTCATTGGCCGGAGTGATATTGTCGGAAGCCCCGTCAGCTACCTCCTGCGCCACGCTGACGCGACTGTCACTGTCTGTCACTCTCGGACCGCGAACCTGGAGGAACACGTCAAGGCAGCAGACATTGTTGTTGCCGCCATTGGACAACCTGGTTTTGTCAAGGGCGAATGGCTGAAGAAGGGCGCCGTTGTCATCGATGTCGGCACCAATTACATTCCCGACGACACGAAGAAGTCTGGCCAGAGGCTAGTTGGCGATGTCGACTTCGAGTCTGCTTCGCAGGTTGCGTCGCATATCACTCCTGTGCCAGGTGGCGTCGGGCCCATGACCGTTGCCATGCTCTTAAGAAACGTCGTGGACTCGGCCTCACAATCCCTCGAGAGACAGAGGCAGCGAAAGATTGTACCCCTGCCGCTCCATCTGAAGGAGCCGGTGCCATCGGACATTGACGTCTCCAGGGCCCAGACCCCCAAACAGATCACCCGCCTCGCAAAGGAAGTCGGCATTGCCTCGCACGAGCTGGAGCCTTATGGTGCCTACAAGGCCAAGGTGGACCTCGATCTGCTCAAGAGGCTGGAACACCGTCGCAACGGCAAGTATGTCGTTGTGACTGGTATCACCCCAACCCCTCTTGGCGAGGGCAAATCGACCACCACAATGGGTCTCGCCCAGGCTCTGGGCGCGCACCTTGGCCGTGTCACTTTCGGAAACGTCCGTCAGCCCAGCCAGGGCCCAACGTTCGGGATCAAGGGCGGTGCTGCTGGTGGAGGCTACAGTCAGGTCATTCCGATGGATGAATTCAATCTGCACCTGACAGGTGATATCCATGCCATTACAGCAGCGAACAACCTTCTCGCCGCCGCGATCGAGACTCGTATCTTCCATGAGAACACGCAGAAGGATGGACCTCTGTACCGCCGCCTTGTCCCCGCAAAGAACGGCAAGCGTGTCTTTGCGCCTGTCATGTTCCGTCGCCTGACGAAGCTTGGTATCGACAAGACCAACCCTGACGATCTTACCGAGGAAGAAGTCAGTCGCTTTGCGCGTCTGGATATCGACCCTGAGACTATCACTTGGCGCCGTGTTCTAGATGTGAATGATCGCCACCTTCGTGGAATCACTGTTGGCACAGCCGCGACGGAGAAGGGTCAGACGCGTGAAACCGGCTTCGATATCTCTGTCGCCAGTGAGTGCATGGCCATCCTTGCCCTCAGCACGAGCCTGAGCGATCTTCGGGAAAGACTTGGCCGCATGGTCGTCGCCAGCTCCAGGAGCGGTGACCCCGTGACTTGCGACGACATTGGTGCTGGCGGCGCATTGACGGCTCTCATGAGGGACGCTATCAAGCCCAACCTGATGCAGACCCTGGAAGGCACCCCAGTCTTTGTTCACGCCGGGCCCTTCGCAAACATCAGCATCGGCAACAGCTCTGTGCTCGCTGACAAGATGGCGTTGAAGCTTGTGGGCACAGAAGCGGACGAGGACCCCGCCGAAAAGGCCGGCTTCGTTGTAACTGAGGCAGGTTTCGATTTCACCATGGGCGGCGAGCGCTTCTTCAACATCAAGTGCCGCGCCTCCGGACTGGTGCCCGATGTCGTCGTCGTCGTCGCCACAGTTCGCGCTCTCAAGGTGCACGGTGGCGGCCCCCCTATCTCTCCAGGTGCGCCCTTGAACGCTGTGTACAAGGAGGAGAATGTGGATATTCTGCGCGCTGGCTGTGTGAACCTCGCCAAGCACATCCAGAACGCTCGAGCGTACGGCATTCCCGTTGTCGTGGCCATCAACAAATTCTCCACTGATACGGATGCTGAGATTGCTGTCATCCGGGAAGAATCCATCAAGGCTGGCGCCGAGGATGCCATTCTTGCGAACCACTGGGCCGAGGGCGGCAAGGGTGCCGTCGAGCTGGGCAAGGGTGTTATCGCGGCGAGTGAGAAGCCCAAAGACTTCAAGCTGCTGTACGATCTTGACGGCACGGTGCAGGAACGCATCGAGGCCATCGGAAAAAAGATGTACGGTGCTGCGGCGGTCGAGTTCAGCGAGTTGGCGCAGAAGAAGGTCGACCAGTTCACCAAGCAGGGTTTCGGCAACCTTCCCATTTGCGTGGCCAAAACCCAGTATTCGCTTTCTCACGATCCCGAGCTCAAGGGTGCCCCGACGGGCTTCACAGTGCCCATCCGCGACGTGCGAATGGCCGCCGGCGCCGGCTACCTGTAAGTTATGCTCGAATTTCAACGTGCCCCGCAGATTGTTGTACTGACGACGCTACAGGTATGCGCTTGCTGCCGACATCCAGACCATTCCAGGTCTGCCCACCGCGCCAGGCTACCTGAATGTGGACGTTGACGTGGAGACTGGTGAGATCCAGGGTTTGTTCTAAGGGATGGCTTTTGAATGCATTATGGCGAAGGAGTGGCATTTCTTCAACAAATTGGCGCTGGGGCTTATCCGTTCAACATTGATACCTTCCATCCTTTTACCACGGGAAGAGTAGAGCAGATGGAGAAACTATTAACAGCAACGCTGACAAGATGACTGACTGACTTACTTTGTTGGGCACTGCACTCTTTTGTGATGGTGGCATTCAAAAGAGAATCGTCGTGATCCAGTCTGCGCCTTGATAGTCGTGCGCGCGGTACGCCACGTGATCGACTTGACCGCGCCACTATCAGGTACCACACATCCTGAACGTTCTTTTGCCCTACATGGCCGGCGATGGCCGCAATCGACAAAGTCGTCCGGAGCAAACGCCGGTCCCCAGCAGCCACAGCAAATGCGGCACGTTGATGGGCTCATCCAGCACGACTCGTCGGCCGAGACAAAATTTGGACGTGTCCACGTTTACGCTCGTCGTCACATCCATCCGACATGCTTGTCCCGTTCCAACCGTGATGGAAGCAGTTTCTCGGAATGAACCGAGCCGAACGAATGCGGGGGAGGAGTGCGGGGGGCCTCAACTCCAGCGGCAGGCAGGGCACTGCAAATGTTAAGCGAGGCCCCCGTGTTCACTTGGACCGCCGAACCGATCATGGCAGCCCGTTGAGGATGGAGGTGGGGTGGAGGGCTAACTTCGAGGCCACATGTCGGCCTGTTCGCGGCCGGCATGTTGCTCGGCCCGATGCTCCATTTGTCTGCTTGGAGCTTGCCTCGATCGCATCTGGGCAAAGGGCGAGGGGGGGGCGGATCGCCATATATTGCAGGTACACTAAGGAGAGCACTCGGTCATAGACCAGAAGGGGCTTTCTCAGGAGAAGTCTATGCGACTGACGACCGGCATTGGAACTAGCCAGAGATTGCGAAGGGAACCATGTTCTGCCAGTGCGTGGCGGAGACGGTGTTCACGTGGACAGATTATCTCCCCTGGATCAGCCACCTGCTTGCTGTGGTCGATAACTTGCCGTGCCGCGATAGGTTCCTCTTTGCCTAACTTCCCGCGTATGAAACATGGCACCACGTTTTCACAAAACAAGCACTGAGGGAGCCATACTGAAGGACTACCAGGATGGAAGCCCAACATTGAGATCGACTATGCTATAGACCAAGCGCCAAACTGCCACACAAACAACACGGCCCTGTCACCATCCAAATTGCTCGCAGTGAAGCTCTACCGCAGGACCCTTTCTCCTGACTGACTCGGCTGTTGTATTGCGCACCTGCGTCATCAGCCCCTCCGGGCCGCAGCCCATAACCAGCACCTGTTGGCTGCTGGGCGTCTGCGCAATGGCATGGTGGATCAAAGCCGAGACGTCAGGCCGCGCGTATGTAATGGGAATTCCGTGGATGTGCAACTCGCTGGTAGACTGCTGGTGTGGTCGAGGTGCGCCGGCAGCAGATGTGTCGCAAGGGGACGTGGGCGATTCCGGCTCCAAGTCGTGCTCCGACTTTTCGGGGTCGGAGATGTGACGTGTCAAGACGCGGCCCGGCCTGTCCTCGGCAAGCCTTTTCTCGTCATCGACAGGGGTGTCAGGGGAGCTGTCCGAGGACGAAAATGTCGCTGCGCGGTTGCGGAACACGGTTGTGGCGGGTGCAAGGGCATTGTCACTGACAGCCCCTGTCCCGTGCCTTGATGATCTGGTCACGTACAATGAGATGGATGAGTTGAGACTCTGGCGTATCGTGGCAAGGTGGTCAGAGAACCATTCCAGATGCGCTTGCATAGCGTGTCAGTCCTTTCCGTATCAACAGGAGTTTGTCCAGTTTGACTCACCATTATCTTTTACCATCCAGATGAACACAACGCTCTGTTGAGAGCCAGGGTTGGCGTGCTTGATCATATTGAGTGCCATGCCGACGGTGAAGCTTGCCCCGCTCCCACCTGCTATCAAGACCACTTTGTCATAGGAAGTAGGGTCGGGGAAAGTGCCATAGGAGCCTTCAACAGAGGCCCTGAGACTGGCACCTGGGTTTTGGATGGCGTACTTGTGAAGGTCGCGGGTGAAGCCGTCATAGGAAGCCACGACAAACTCCAGAGGGTCTGCCGCCGCAATTGTGAATGGGTGCATCTCGACTGACCTGATGCGGGGAACCCACAGGAAGCAGTGCTCGCCAGAACTCGCACCAATAGGAGGCTTTCGTAGCACAATACGGGTACCTCCGTGCGGCAGCGGATGTATGGTGGCCTGGTTGTTGAAACTGTAAAGACTGACCCTGAGAATGCGGAGAAGACGGTCGAGCGCCCACATGCCGGCGCCGACGCCTGTGGCGATGAGAATATGCTTGTGCGTCTCGGGCTGGTGAAGACCAATAAAAACCATGGTGACGACAAAGAAGGAGACATGCACGAGGTAGAACAGCTCGTAATACCACCGTCGGATAGTGCAGCCAACAATGACAAGCGTCAGCATGGTGAAGCCTGCGACTATGCCATAAATCTCCTCTTGGACCCGGAGTCGCGCCATGTTTCCTCGCTGAATAAAGTAGACCGAGTAGGCGATGCCATGCACAGCTGTCATAGCCATGGCGGTATAACCTACAATCTGATGAATGACATTCAGTCTTTCGTAGGACCAGGTCGTCAGATACCCTAAAGGCGTATTCTTGAGACCGAGAAAGACGGCGAGGCAGATGTTGGCGAGTGCAAGCCTAAAACGTAAGGTCAGGTAGGGCCGTGATGGGCGGTGGGGTAGGCTTCACATACCATCCAGTCCGCGAGGCAATATTGGATAGGAGTGCCAAGGCAGGGTGGTTCATCAGGGGCTTAAATGTCAGAACAATATTGAGTCCCACATAGATCAAGGCAAGTCCAGCGTGGCCGACGGAAGGTAAGAATGGAGCTTTGGCGAGGAGCCTTCTTCGGAGGATTCTAGAACAAAAGCATTCGTCAGACATGTTGCTTCCCGTTCCGGCTCAGCAGGAAAGGAGAGATGCGTACCTTGAGGCGAAAAGAAAGGGGCTGGCGAAAATAGAAAACCGAGGCGCAAGACCCGACTTGTGAGCCAATATGCGAGTGAAGTGAAAGCCGATGAATATAGCCATGAGGGACACCAAAGCGGCGGCAAAGTAAGTGACGGCAAGTTTATTCAGAGCCAAGCGAGCCGCAAACAGTTCAGGTAGTTGAGACGGGCCACTGGCCGCTCCGTGGCCTGCCATGGCGGAGCTGTATGCGAATTTCAGCTTCTGGTTAAGATAATCGATGACAGGGAGCTATAGATAGATCTTGGGCTGCGAAAGGTCAAGGCAGAGGATGAAGAGCGTTGTCCTGGAAAGCGTAGATGACTGTGAGCTCGTGGACGGGCCAGGGGCTGTAGTAAAGAAGCAGCGAGCACTCAGCATCCGAAATGAGAGTGCATTTTGAAGGCTCAAATGTGGGAGGCTAGGTTTATAAACTTGTCTTTGTGACCTCGCATGACCGACAAGCAAGTATCGAGAAGCATCGGCCAGCCATCGTGTCCACCTAGGTACCTAGGTAGGTACAGTTGGTAGGCTGTACAGCATGCGAGAAATGGTAGGGTAGCTGCCGGCTTGGGAAGGTATCTTTGGGCAGGGAAGAGTGGCCAGCAGCAGCAGCAGCAGCAGCAGCAGGTTCCATCCGGTCTGTCGAAAATGGCCTCGGCTGCTGCGCGCGACGGGGCCAGCCACATATGAGGTTGGTTCATGTTTCCCGGAATTCCGACCGACCCAGACAAGAGGATGCGACATGGCCTTGGTCATTTATTTCTCACAGCCAGCAGGCAGGGTGCCTGTGGCTTGTTCTTTTGTGTAAGCCGATTCAAAAAGCAGATCCCGTGCACCGCAACGCACCAGTTGCAGCTCATTCAGGGTATCACGAAGTCATCCCACTTACACCAGGTCGAGTCAGCATGTTTGATATGTGCCGACGTGATTGAGTTGGTTTATCTCTTGCAATACTCGTTGCTGTCTTGCCATCGCGCCGTAGCTGATGCTCATGGCGTCTCTCTGCCTCATGGATGTCGATGTCGGCCCTCGTCTCCCGACACGATGTACGTGGTCATGAGTGTTCTTCACACAGCAACACATGCAGCAAGGCATATGTTTTCCTCAACAATTGCCGTTCTGAACCCAGGAAGGCCTGTTTCCGCTGGAAGAAAGAAGCTTTCTTGCTGACAAGAGACTCGACCGTGTCAAAATGCCAAGAAACACTATCTCGCATGGTCGAAACTCGACGGATGACTGCACCAAGGCGAGGAGCAGGCTGTGCACTGCCGATGGGCATATGAAAGGCACGTCGTCATCTGCCAGTAACCGCACGGCGTCCAATCAAGCTTGCGGTCCGCCGCGGGTCAAGCCTGGGGTTTGTGGCTCGCTGACTCGCAGTTGACGGGTCAAAATCTGGGACGGGAGCGGCAGAGCGATGTTGAGGTCGGGTTGCGTGTCCGCGTGGTGACGGGTACGGAGCAAGGAGATACGATGCGACTCCTCGAACGGGCCGAGTCTCTGCTTGCTCAGCTTGACAAAGCAGCGCGATCGGTTCACGTCGCGGCGGCCGATGGCTGGTTGCTTCGTTGGGTGCGCTGACGGGGGTTGCTGAATACTATGGGTAAATTAAAGATAACCAGCCGTGTTCAGGAAAGCCGGGGAAGCAGTACCGAACATCCATGCGGGTTCAACCTTGGCTCTTCCCCACAAAGCAGCCGCGATGGTGGCAACGAAGGGATGGCAGCGACTGGCGTTGCAATCCAAACGAAGACAAAAAAAAGCCAACTCACAACCGGCCAGGGTCATCAGTTTGACTGCTCAGGTTCATGACACCGGACTGCCCATTCGCCATCCATGCCTAGCACGACGAAGAAGGGCCGTCTAGGATCTCAGGGTGCCGTGGACGCAGATCGCGTTGCATGGGCTGGCCCCTGGTCGGCCGAGATCTGGTATTAGGGCCAGAGGATTCGCAATGATCAAGTGGCTCAACTCGTGGGCCGCATGCCGAGCGCGGGACAACTATCAATCCGCGCTGGCGCGCCGGGGAGGGTCGTAGTGTGGGAGAACGACTCTGAAACGCATAGACTGTTGGTCGTGGGAGGCGTAGGTGACGTGACGCAGAGGACCAATGGGGTTTATCGTGGGAGGAGAAGCCATGGCGACCGACATGTTGAATGTTTGAAGAACTGCTGGGGCCTGCTAGGATCGGGCTTCGAGTTCCCACGTCGAGCCGGGCCATTTGCAGAGAGGCATCTGAATCGGGCTTGAATCTGATCCATGTTGCAACGCAGGTTTCGCTTCCAGTGCGGTTCGTTCAAGTCTGTGGCTCGGCGTTAGGCGCGGCAGTGCAGCAAAGATTCGGAGCGTCGCCGTTAATTAATATGCATGCATGTGGAGATAGGTGAAGAATTGCACCGCTGGGCGGCTCGATTGACATGCTTGCATGCCCAACTCGGACATGGAAACTGGGTTGGAGACCGGCCGGAGGGAGGGCATGGGCCAGGCTTGCGTGACGACAAGGTCAACATTTCACATGGAAGAAGCTCTTCCGCCGAACAATTCTCGGCGGCCTCTCGACGTCTCAGCGGACACCTGAGGACACACAGGATCTGAGACAAGACACATACATGTCTTGGAGCTCACCTTGGGCATGACGGGATGTAGTTGTTACCCCGCATCCGTACCTGCATTTTTGTTTCTTCTTGTAGATGCTGCGCGCCTTGTGTGGCTTACATTGACGTTGCCAGTAATCGCACCGGGTTCGGAAGCAATTTCAGACGAGTGTCAGGGTGTGGCGAACCTAGACACATTCACGTCACAGATCAGCAGACCACGGGAAACGACAGCAACTACGTGAATCGGCGGAGTGTGTTTGTGTGTTTGTTTGTTTCCCCTCCCAAGTACAGAGCGGCGGTCACGTCCAGGTCATGCCTAGGTACCTACGTAAGCTTGGTAAGGTACCTTGCAGGTTACTTACCTACCTAGGTACCTAGGGAGATAGGCTGTGTACACCTTCCGTTTGGGCCAATTACCAAAGCCAAGTGCCATATCAGCTACCTGCGTGCGTCTTCGCTCTTGCTCCTCCAAAGACGCGACACAACTCTGTCGCTACGACTTCGACGGGATCTTAAAGCCCGATACGCGCAGCTTCTGGAACACACCTTGCGGATCGTACTTCGCAGACGCACGCTGCAGCTTTTCGACAGCCTCCTTGCCAAATGTCTCGATGACTTCCTGGCTGCTATGAGCATAGTTGAGATACTTCCAGTCCCACTTCAACCCCAACGACTCGGAGTACGCGTCAATGTCCTCGAGGTAGGCCGCCACCAGGGGCAACGCCAGCGCCTCGGCTTCCGCCCCGTTGATCGCCAGCGTCACGAGGAACATGATGCCGTTGCCTTCGTCGATGTAGCTCTCCAACCCCAAAATGTTGCCTCCGTTGGCGACGCCCTTGTCCACGATGGATTTGGTGATCGGCTGCAGCATGCACAGCGTGTTGAAGTTCGATACCGACGCCGGTGCTATCTTCTCGATCGCTGCATTCAGCTCGTGGAACTTTTCCGCGGCGTAGTTCATCGGTCGTGCGTCGTTCTTGAAGGATGCTGTGAACCAGGCATTTCTGGTACACATGTCAGCCAACACATCCCGTCTCTTGACCTCCAACGGCAGACCATCTCGTCACGTACCGGAACCCTGCGGGCTGCCCAGCCCCCAGTGCGTTGGTCACCGCGGAGAGCGTATCAACCTTGGTCGTGTCGTCGTAAAGACCCTCGACGTCGTAATACACCTCGAACGCCGCCGGCTTGACCTCACCCAGTGTGTTCTCCACAGCAGCATTGAGGATGGTACCTCCGAGAATCTGGGGTAGGTGTGCCCAGTACACGATCGACGAGCTGTTCTCGTCCTTGTGCACATTGTCGGTAAACTGCACCAGCGCGTCGACGAGGGCCGGGCCTGACTTGAGGTCGTAGTACAGGTTGCCGCCCCAGACCACCGGGCGCTCAGGATCCGGGAACTCGATCGGGTACATATCGAAGCGTGTGATGAGCCCCAGGTTCCCGCTGCTGCCCTTGAGCGCCTGCCAGAGGTCCGCATTGCTGGTCGCGTTGGCGTTGACGATGGAGCCGTCCGCGAGCACAACCTCAAAGTTGGCCACCGTGTCGCAACCCATGCCATGCGACGCCGAATGGAAAGAATTGCCGCCGCCGCTGATAAAACCGCCGGTGCCCACGGTGCCCGCTCGGCCGCCCGTCACTGCAACGCCGTAAGGCGCCAGCTCATCGTACACGGTCTGCCAATGACCTCCGGGCTGGACTGATGCAAGCCTGGTTTCGGGATCCCAGGTCGTGCCGTTCATCTGGCCTGATGACAACAAAATCGATCAGAAAAGGCTTCTTTCAAAAAGACCCGGTACTTGTGGTCAAGATAAACGGGCAGCTTCAACATACCAAAGTCGATCGTGATGCCGTGCTCGACGCCATTGGAGAGCGCGTGCGCGCCGTGTCCGCCACCTCGTATGCCAAAGGGACAGTCACCTGCCACGATTGTCTTGATCGCCACCGAGACGTCTTCGGCCGTCGACGGCTGTACCATGCACCACGGTTCGAGGGCCGCTGAGACAGACCAGTACGTCTGAAGACGAGCCTCGTAGGCCTCGGAGTCGGGAAAGTAGACCTTACCCTCGAGACTAGGAACGTTCTTCAAATCCAAACACTGCGAGCCACACGAGGTTAGCAATCATCCTAATCACCGCGATCGATCTCCTGGCCCGACACTAAGGACATAACTCACGCAACGGGACACGCAGCTCCTGGTGGCCATGCCCGCACTGCCCAGGGCCAGTAGGACGCCGACCGTCATGTTCGCCCGCGGACTCCGCATTGTTGCTGCTCTCGATGGAATTGACGACTGATGAGCACCGGACTATTGGGTGCACAAATGGAATCGCGACATCGGCGAACCTGGGCAGACTATATGCAAATCCAGTGCAGCGAACGAACTGCAAACCCCCCTTTTTTGGGATGCAGTTCGCACGCGTTTTTCATCTGCAGTCTGCAATCTGCAGCCTGCAGACTGTGGTCTCCTGGTGGTCGCTCGACCCTTGCCATCTGCTAATGTCGGCGGAAAACCCGCTTCGAGGCTGTGAGCTGTAGAGGATTATTAGCACCCTTGCATGATACAGGCAATCAACTCGATTATCTGATGCGAGTGCACGGGGCAGTACCCTCGATTTGTATCTTGGGCGCAACAGATGAGCGGTCACAAAGCTGTGCCGCAGCCCCGATTCGCGAAAAGCCAAGACGATATTTCGCTGGGCTGGATTGTAGCCTCTCACAGTTGAGGTCTGGTCGGCAGGGGGGGCAGCAGCGGTCCTTGTTCTCTGAGCTCCTATTCACTACCCTAATGCGAGGTGAGGTAGAATACCTGGGGTGAGGTGCATCAACGCAGGTGGGATGATTTGACGCCGAAACCGCTGAAAACAGCCCATCCGCCATCAATCATCTCATTGCGTATATACATATCACTGAAGGGGAATTGCATGCGCACGAGAGGTGAACGACACGAACTTGCGCTCGCCTGATGTCCGTAGGTTCGGTCGACCCGCGTTCCTCGTATCCTGTACCTAGCAGTGCGATGGTGAAAACGCTGTGACCTCGGCACTCAGTCTTTTATTTTTGTCTTTTTACTCTTATGTTCTTCTTTCCGCAGATGATTCAGCTGCAAGCATTCACTTTTCCCCCGTTTCCCAACTTCATGCTGGGATCCATATAAGCTCAATGATCCCATCAAGGGTTTTCATGGGCTTTCCCTCCTTCGTCGTCCATCGCTCGTCGTCCTTCTTCCGGACATAGACCTGTGAGACTGACCCGTCTTCAAGGTACTGCGAATCGTAGATGTCCCAGGCCATCTTTTTACCCGTCTTGCTGAGTGGCAGTCGCTGGGGGCCGAAGGTGTAGTCAAAGGCCCACCCGTTGTTCTTTCTGTCTAATTTGATGTCTGAGCGGAAGGTGCCCTCTATCTGGTTGAGGTCGAAGTCGATGCCTTGAGGATACTGCGCGACACTGTATCCGTTGGAGATGATAAAGTTATCGGCGGTGACGAAGCGTTGGTAAGAGCAGTCCTCGCCGCAAGTGCGGGCAATCTTGGTCGTGTTGAGCGGGAACGAGGCGTGCCACCACTTCTTGTGACCCTTGAAATGATGGATACTGAAGGGTTTGAGACCGCTCTCATAAAAGCCTGCCGCGTCTCCCGAGAGATCGAGCTGCCAGAGGTCATCGAGTAGGGTTAAGCGCACGTCGGTATTCTCATAGATGCACTTGCGGAGGAGGATATCTCCCTGAGGACCCCAGCCCGAGTTGGACTCCTTCAGTTTGGCCCGCGTAATGCACGTATCATGGACGCTTGATATGATCTTGGCCAGGGGCCGGCTGAGGAAGACGCCGCCGCCGCCAAAGGCCTGGGAACCGTGGCGCTTGACGGCGCCGGCATCCTCGGACAAAGTTCCGACGTAGAGCGGTTTTGTGTGGTCGTACTGCTTGAATCTCGCGACGAGGCTGTTCATGGCTGAGAAGAAGGTATCGGCGTCGCACAAGACGAACCACTGCTTCGCGGAGGATATCTTGTGGGAATACAGCAGAGGGACCAGGCCGAGATAGCGCGCAGCCATCTCGTTCTCTATGCGACTGTCGCAAGCGCTCACTTCGGCGTCGATGCCAACATCGGCGAGGCGCTGGGTCACGTCTCTGAGCTCCACGTCGGAGGCGTCAGTGAGCCGAACGAGGAGCTTGCCGCCGTTCGTCATGCCGTTGCCATCTGTCAGCCAGTAGGCCCACTCCTCGATCGTTTTGGGGTGCTTGAGGCGCTTGAAAGTCGTAGTAAGGGCGAAGATGTAGTCGGAGAGGTCGACATTGGCGGGGAAGAGTGACTGGGGAACCTCAAGGTCGAGAGGCTTGCGACATTCAGCCTCGTGGACGTTGCTCTCGGACAGTCGTAGCGTGCGGAAGCTCTGGCCTACTTCGCTACTGTCGGGCAGCAGGCTCTGTTGCAGCACGGTATAGGACCGCCGTTCGATGGGTTTGCGCGTGAATCGAATGTAGTGCTTGAGGTACTCGATCTGGTCCCCGAGATCGTGGGCGGCCCCGATTTCGCGGAGCCTGCCCATGTCGGTGTTGCAGTTCATGACGTGGGTCGTAGTAGGGTGGGCGTCGTGGGTGCTTTCGTTGACGGGCTTGGACAGGTCGTCAGCAGCATGTGACGGCCTGACCGGCTTGACAGAGACAAGGGCGCCATTACGCAAGTCGGCCGTCTCAAGGACCAAGTCTGTCGCGTAGGGTCGCCTCGAAGGTAGGTTCAAGCACAAGACCACGAAGACGAGGACGGCGGCGACGAGCTTGAGGGCCCTCGCCAGAGGATTCGGTATGCTGTAGCTGTATTGGGTCAGAGGCAGCAGCTTTGCCTTGAGATCCGTGATGAACGGTAAGGACCCCGGTTGCGAGATGGTTCGAGAATGGCCTTTCTCGAGTTGAGCCTGCTGTTGAAGAAAAGGCACCTTCATGGTGTTGTTGGTGCTTGAGGCCGCTCTCTCCAGGGGCGCTGGGTTGGAGAGCAAGAGTGGAGGGGAGGGGGGATCGCCAAGTCAGCGAGAAGAGTACCCAGTCTTGGCTCCGTCATGCGTCAAGGTGAGGGGGGGAGTAGTCCTCCACCGAGCAGGCGGCGACTGGCAGAGGGCAGTTGTCGAGCAGCACGCAAAGCCGACACTGGTGCTGCGGGAGGCGAGCCTCTCATAGGAAAATGAGTTGCAGGGCACATGTTGGGCCCTTCTGGGATGTGACCATGCTACTCTGATTTCATGAGGCCAGGAGTCCATGCGCGCGTGAGAAGTCGGACGATGAGCGTCGAGACGAAAAGGCCAGAACGGGCTACTGTGAGCCAGACGGAGTGGGCGGAGTTGCCGCGGAAGAAACGAGGCGAAGCGTGCTGCAAATGTTGCAGCAATAAAATGAATCATTTGCTCCCCGAACCAGACTCTCGGGACTCGATATTTCGTTCGACCGAGGTGTTTGGCTGTGAAGCGCCTGTTGGTGGCGGTTGGTTGTGCGTGGGAATGAGACCCTTGTCTGTGCCAAGCCGTTAGACAGGTTAGACACGAGAATCGTCAATGCTCCCTTGTCTTCGTCCCATGTCATCATGTCAGTGCAGCTAGCGAGGGGACTACTGTATAACCTTATCTCTAGGTACCCATTGGGCTAACTAAGGTACCTACGGAGGAAGGTACAGACAATTGCTCAGCCAATAGCAGTGACAATTGTGAGTAGCCATTGCAAATTTAAATGGGTTAACTCGAAGAGCAGCCTGTGCATTGGTGAGTGCAGTTGCCTTAAGGTAAGGTACCTTAGGTATCTTGGTGGTGATTTGCCCCCCTGGCAGGCTGCCCAGCAGGCAGCAGTTGTAACCACAACGCTCGGGCCGACTGTTCAGCACAGCAATGGTGGCCTCGATTAGAGAAGGCACAGCAAAGTTGACGCCGAGGGAAGGAATTAAGGGAGACGAGGAGAGAGGGGCGTCATGATGAGTGGGCAGGTGCTCGCCTTCCGTGTGCCTGTACTACACAAGTGGTGCCTGCCTCACTGGACTCAGAAGGTACAATGCGTGGTTCCTACCCAGCCGTCTACGACCTCATCTCAACCGACGACGCAGTCCACAAGCCGATTCTCGAGCATTCGTTCTCCTAAGCAGTAATTCTCCTTCCTATTCACCGCCCTCGGCCCCGGCATTCCCATCATCCCCCCAAAAAGGACAAGGCATCCAACTCGTGCTCAGCGCGTGTCCCAAAATCCCGCCATACTTGCACGTATCGTATCTCTTCTCCTGACGAGACATCACTCTCGTCAACATCATCACCACCTTCGCCATGGCAAATATCCCTAGCACGTTCCAGCTCCTGCTTCGAAGCGTCCTGTACGACTGTCCAGCCAGCATCGCCGCTCCTCCGCATGTCGCCAGAAGTCCGAGCTAGGCAGAAAGCGCGCACAAACGCTAGCGACCCCTGAATCTCAGACTCCCGATAGAACTCGTGCCACGGGCCAGCTCCCTCGAGCCACTTGTCCAGCCTGTCGAGCCTCGCCAGTGCCCCACACCAGTCTGCGTGTCGCAGCGCACTAACGGCCTGCGCCCGCTGCCGCTGAAATGACAGGTACTTCCAGTACGCCTCGATCTGTGGACGGCTCATAAGGCCCGCCGCTGCCTCCTCCGCCGATGGCCTCCCGGCAAATACCTGCCGGATACGCATCGCCGACTGCCGCTGTCCCTGACCCCACGTCGTCGCCGGTGCCTCGGCATCGTCCTCGCCGCGCCCCAGGATCGCCGCCACCTCCTGCTGAAGCTCTACAAGCTTCCCTCTGAAATCCTCGCCTGACAGTGCATCAACCGATCGCGCCAGCTGCAGTCTGGCGTACGCCTGGTTGTGTTCGCTCAGTAGCCTGCGCAGCTCACAATTGCTGTCGAGGAGCTTCGTATTGAACACCTTGTGTGCATCAAGCGACCTCTCCAGGGCGCTCCGTACCTCCTCCCCCACCTCGTCGTTGCTCATGTTAGCCGCTATTCCGCTCGCGACTAAATCATTCCAGAGACCATTCGTCCTCTCCTCAACCCCCGCGAGCACCTGAACCGCCATCGACTCTCTGACCTCAACGAGCTCCGCCTTTGCTCTCTCCATGTCGAGTGTCTTGATTCGCAACTCATTCTCGAGCTCGCGGCGTGCCGCAAACGAGGCCTTGGACGCGGCGCCCTCCTTCTCTGTCTTCAGCTTCTCCAGCTCGCTCGTGAGTCTCTCGATCTGGCCCCTGTGATTCTCCCTCGTGTATTTGTCATCGCTCACCTCCGCTGCCGTGGCCGTGGCCGTGGGCGACATGGTCTCCGTTTCGGACTGGGGTAAAATCTTCATAAAGTCGCCGCTCACCTCTTGCAGCGTCGCCATGAGGTCCTTGGCCTTGGCCTCTGCAATATCCGCCCTCAGCTCCGCCGTTCGACATTCCTCTCTCGCCTGCTCCGCCTGCCGCTCAAGCACCTTGCTTGGGGCGTGCGCCCGGTTGAGGCTCCTTTGCATGGCGTTGATACGTGTCTGTACCTCACGTGCGGTCGCTATACCCTGCCGCCTCGACTCGCGCAGTTGCGAGTGTAGCTCTTGCGCCTCGCGCTGGCACTCGTCGGCCCGCTTCCTGTCGGCGTCCTGCGCGTCAAGGAGCGCCGAGATGTCCGTTGTGTCCTTGATACTCAGCATTTGCGCCTCGAGCCGCCTCTTGTCATCACTTAGCTTCTTGACCTCGTCCTCAAGAACCTGCAGCTTCGCCTGAGTGTCTGCCTCGGCCGACCTCTCGCTGGACTTTGATTCTTCCTCGATCTCCTGGTCCAGGAGGCCTGACGCCAGGCTGCGGATGCTGTCCGGTGCGCTCTCAAAGAGCGAGGCGATGCGTGCGAGCTCGTCGGAGATGCGGGTTGCGATATCGGCCGGGGGCGGCAGGGTGGTGTTCTGCAGCACCTCACTGAGCTGTTCAAACGAGTAGATTGAGCGCTCAAGCTTGTTGGCCTCGGTCAGAAGTTTATGGCTTTGTTCGGAAAGGTTGTTTCGAACCCGCTGCGCGACGAGCCTTCGATACTTGTTGATGCTGACAACGGCTTGCTTCATCATTGAGTTTTCCATCGAGTGAACGACGAGCCACAGGTTCTTCCGCTCATCATCGCGGTCTCGAAGGTCTTTCTGGACCTGTGCGACCGTTGTTGTAGCATGATGAAGTTGTTGTTCGAGTTCAATAAAGTGTTGGAACCCCAAGTTCTGCACCCTCAAGGCATTCTTCGCCCGTTCATCTGCGTTCTGTCGCAGCCGTTCCTGGGTATCAAACAAGTCCTGTCGAGATTCTTGTCGTCCACCCGATGAAGTGAGCAGGGCGTCAACAAGTCTATCGAGAGATGCCGCGTTTGAGGGCTGGCTAACAAGATGAGCATGCAGACAATTCATGGCAGTGCGCAGGCGACCGTCCTTATCTCTCATCATCTGAGGGTTGGGGGGGATATGTTGAGTCGTGGTCTCGTCCACAGCCTCTTCCGCCCGCATACGATCTGCGAGGGCGTTGCTTGCATCGGCGTGTGCCTCCGCAAAGGCCACAGAGTGTGGTTCGTCTTGTAGTCTCGACTCTTCAAAAATCTGGCCAAGTGTGTCTTGTATCATCCTAGTCAGGAGTGCTACCTCTGCAGAAGCCATCGCATCCGCACGCGAGCGGGCAACCCGGATATCATAGTCCTTCTGATCTTGCTCGAGCCGCGCGTCGTAGTCAATCTGCATGGACAGCTTCTGCGCCCGTAGACGATCCTCTTCAGCGATGGCGTCATATGTTGCAGCGTATGTTCTCTGTATAAAGGCATTAAAGTACGCCACGGGCACCGAGTCTCGGCCGGCAGCCCACCGGCGGAGGCGCTCGATCATGCCGTCGTTGGCCGTCTCGTGCGACCAAATGGCAAACCAGTCAGCGTCGGAAACCTCTTCGCCTGTCTGCTGCTCGATTTGTTGCCTTCGCGCGAGCGCCTTCTCCTCGGGAGAGGGACCTGCCTCGAGATCTGCCCGAAGGAAGTGCACACGTTTTGTGGCTGTTCCGTGTGGATTATCTTCATCGACGTCCCATGACCCTTCGTTCGATCCGCCCTCCTCCAAAATGCCCGCCTCCTCCGCATCCTTTTCGAAGTCGTGAAAGTCTGCCTCATAGTTGGCTATGATGCGCTTCTTCTCGCCATCGTTCATGGGTACGGGCTTGGCCCAAACACGCTTGCGCAGTTCTCTCTGATCTCGGCTCGGGAACGGTCTCACTTTTCCATAGTCGACTGTATCTCCTTTCTTCTCTGAGTGCTCGCTCTGCTGTTGACCATGAGGTGGAGTTTTGTCACCCTCGACAGTATTGTGGTCATCTGCCATATTGTGACAACCCTTCCTTCTTGTTAGTGAAGATGGAAGCCGTGGTTTGAAGTTGGAGTAGAGAGTCTGATAAAAGCAAGAGGTAGATAGGGTGGAAAAACAGCCTCCTAGACAGGCCATCGCATGCTGCTGTTTATCAAAAGACGACAGGACGACTAGCGAAGCACCTACTTCTGAAGCCAAGCATCGATGACCGTACCCTCAAAGAAAGAGGCCCGAGTCGAGGCTCAAGGCACAACAAAGGAGGTGGCGGCAACATTGTCGAGCCAGCCCGACTACTCTGCGAAGACAAAGATGAAAATTAGCAAAGCTCACCCAGTGTCTCTGGCGAATCAACTGTTCTATTTTTCATGACAGAAATGTGGGAGTACTCTGTGTTCTGAAATGCATACCTCGTGGAAGTCCAGCTTCCCACTGAACGGCGCTGCTCTTCGTCTATAGTTGGCTTATGCCAAGCTCACTTGGTAAACCAGATGTCGTTCTCGTCAAGTCCAATGGGCTTGACCGCCTCCTCCCACCACTTGAGGTACGCCGTCCCCTCGACTCTCCTCAGCTGTGGCTTCTCCCAGCGGTAGGCAACGATGCGTCCCTCGGCGTTCCGGATCCAGCACGACTCACCAGCGAGCGGATCATCACCCCCGGGTGTCGCGTCCGCGATCTTGACCAGCCCACCCGCTGACGCCTGGTCGAGGACGTGCTCCTCAACAGGGCTGAAGCTCACCGTCTTGGTCCCCTCGTCCGGCCTCCTCACAGTCGCAGTCGCAACCGCCGCCGCCGCCGCCGCCGCTGCTGCTGCTGCTGCTTCCTTCTCCGTCCTGTCCTGACACTCCCGCGTCAGCCCCTCAATGTCAACGGCAGCCCAAGCGCTCCCGCGCACGCTCGCGCCGCGCACGTAGCACGCGTGCGCGCGCCTCCACGCGCCGAGCCCGCGGAAACAGTGGCCACGGTACACCTGCGCGCGCGCCGCCTGCTGCCAGCGGTGAAACTCGACGGCGTCCCTGTGCGCCTCGCTGGCGTGCGCCAGGGCGTCGAGGTACGCGTCTCGGCCCCGTCGCTGGTCGGGAGGGCAGCCCCCCCCGCCGGCCGCCGTCAGGGCCCTCGCCAGCTCGAGGGCGGCGTGGGACCGCAGGAGACTGCCGTTGATGGACGAGAGGATGATTCTCTTCTCTGACCTCGACAGCTTGAACGGCAGACGCAAGACGGGGGGGTGGGCAGGCGCTTCTGCCATTTGTGTGTAGGCGCTTTTCTCTTCTCTCTTCGTCTGTTTGTTCTCCTTTCTTTCTTGTATCCTCCCTGGTATTCCCTTCTTTGTTGTAAGAATGGCTATTGGTTGCTGCAAACAGACATGGAGCAACTGTGGCTGGCATGCCCACCAATGTGGAATCGAGGGGTGTGGATGGGCGCGATTTTATGTACGAGGCATCATTGGCACAACACAAGAGTGAAGAGCAGAACAATGGCGGAGTGTGTGATCAATTTCTTTAGGAATGGATTCCCCCCCTTCTGGAGGATGAACGTGCGTCGCGATGCGAGGAATGACAGTCTACCCGTTTGGGAACAAAGGAGTCTGAGCTGACAGCCCCTGCTTGACTACCTTAAAGAGTGGCTGTTTTGCCTCACAAGTCCAGAAAGGCAAAGCCGTTCCCGAATGCTCCATCAAATTCCTGCTTCACCCGACGGCAAGAAAAAGAAAGAAAAAGTGACCATCGGTCTTGCATCTGAAGCCCGAATGGTTCAACAAAGATGACTCTCATCTAAAACAAGGAGGAGGACGCCACTTCCTATAACACCAAAAACAAATAAAACGAAGCCAGGTATCAGAAATAAAGGAGAGAAGAGTGAGCAAATCAGCATGTCAGCTGATAAAGAGTCGAACCATGTCTGCCCTCGTTCGGTACCCTTGATTACCAGAGCGTCTCGCTGTCCACCAACTTGCCCCGCGTTGCGGCTTGCTCTGACTTGAGACTCGTCCTGTGACCCGACAGCGACTGAGAGTGTGGCCGAGAGCCGTGCTGGGCTGTCGGGCTCACCCTGGGCTGTTGCATCTGGTTCATCTCAAAGGTAGGGCTGGTCTTGGGCGACTGTCTGAGGAAGGTTGAGCTGAGCCTTTGCGAGTGGCGTCTCTGCTGCTCCTTCCAGAACGTCGGGCTGTTTTTCTGCGTCATCCCGACAGACAGAGGCTGTTGCGTGGTGGTTTGCGTGACGGGGCTTTGTTTGACTGTGGTTGCCATGGTGGCATTCTGCAGCGGCATGGTTGCCGACGTGGGAGTCGTCATCTTGTCAAAGGCTGTTTGCTCGGGGCTTCGACTGTATTCGAAGGTCGCTAATGGTGAACGGAGAGGTGCTGGGCGGGTGTAACGCTTGCGCAAACGAGGTGACGTGGGACCCCAAGCTTTGCCAAAGGCCACGCCGGGGTGGAAGATTGCGAGGAGGGCACAGACTACGAATGGAAGTGCACCGTTGACTACCATACAAGCAGCCTCGTTCTGTGCGAGAGGCCCGTCGAAGCCACTGGCTGTTTCCACGATCCGGTAAATCGTGTGGCTGAGAAGCAGTACTGTCGCAGCTTGCGTAACTGAAAAGATTTGTCAGTCAACTCAGATCACCCGAGTGCACCTGTAGGATGCTACATACCCAGGAGGAATCGCTTGAAACGTGCTGATCGGTACACGGTGGCGTGTTTTGGGTCTAGTTTGCTACGTTCGCCGTTCAGGTTGATGGTGAACCAGGAATGAACAGCAACGAAGACCACTAAACCAGCAGTCTGTATGGCAAGGCCCGTCACCAGGATGTTGGCGTTCTGCGGGGCCTGACTTTGTTAGAAACAGATGGCCAGGAAACCCCCGGGTCCAGCAGGACGAAATACTCACCTCCAAGACAGCAAAGGCAACGCAAACTGTTCCGATGATTTCAACAATGGCAGCAACAAGAGCCACAGCAGATAACACGAGAGCGATGTGCTTCGGCTGGACAGAGCTGGCCCTTGCACCGTAGACCGAAAGGGCGTGCGGCAGGATGATGAATATGGAGGCGGCAATGAACGTCGAGCCGAGGACGGTGCCGAGAAGGAACAGGGCAAAGTAAGTCTTGTTGGCGACGTTGTCAAAGAGAAGCAGTCGTCCAGCAAAGCCGAGGACTTCTAGAAGTAGGCCAGTCGTCAGTATGGAAGCGAAAATGGGCGTCTTGAATCGATAGCCGAGGGCCAGGGTCACGGGTACGAGCAGGGCGAAACCAGCGAGGAAGACAGAGTTGCCTGGTCGGGTAGGACGGTAGCTGAGAAAGCCTTGGCTCACTGGACAGGTGTCTGTGGTACAGTCACCTGCCATGACTTGGTCTCGCTGGGCAGGCAGCGATGAGTTGATCTCATCATGGACCTAGCTGAGCAGGCTTGGTGAAAGGGAAGGGCAAGGACAAGAGGGCGAGCTCGGCAGGCCTGGGGCTATATACCTTGATTCGAAGTGATTCGAGGAACTCACTTCGAGGAACAGTGGAGGGGGGAGACGCACGTTGAGGGCGAGGGCAAGGTGCGAGGGCGGGATTGACAAGGAGGAGGGCAACGCAGGCGAGACCAACACGTTGACAGCCAGCATGCCCCGACTGTCCGGTTCTACAAAGTAATGGTGCATTGGATATACCATGGATGTTTTGGGGGCGCACAAAGGCCTCACAGGTGCAGAGTCCCACTCGCCCTCCACCCCTTTACCCCGATCCCGAGGCAGCAATGTCCACTTGCGCGCATGTTGTCTGCCGTGTCGGGGTGTGTTGTGTTGTCTCGTGTTGTGTGCCAACACCAGGTCAGCAAGCAGCTAAATTGCTGCGACCAACCATGATCATCTACCCAAGTAGGTAGGTTTTTGACCGGAGAATGAGGAGCACGAGAGGAAGGGGGGCATCAACCCCCCCACCTCCAGTTAGGCCGGTTGAATGATTCGCAGAGACGCAAGCACCCACGGCACCCTCCCAACGACAAGAAAACCTTTCTAGATTTCAGGCAGATTCGGCATGGACTAGAGGAAGGCTGTTTGGCCCCCACCGCCACCACCACCTTTCAGATCGGCTCACACGGGAAGGAATCATCGGAGGGCCATCCGACTAAGGGGGGGGGCGGGGGCACAACGGCTTGTGGAGAGGTCTTCGGGCGGAGGAGTTGGCGTGTTGCGGACCCGACAGACCGGTTGGGCTATGCCGAAGGAGAGTAGCGATCTGCAGACCAGGCTCAGGCTGTCTCTCTTCAGGCTCCTCCCCCCCCCCCCGGCGACACCCCATACGGCCGCGAGAAAGCACCAATGATGGAAGGCCGACTGGCGGGAGCACCCTTTAGCCACAACGGCGCATATGACAGGGTAGCAATGAACGAGACCTTAGTCTGCTGTCGGCGCTTCTGGCGTTCCTCTGGTCCAATGAGTTGAGTAGTGTGGTGTGTGCGGCAAAGGCTATCACGCGTCTGTGCCACCGCCCCGCAGGCTCTCATTGCCAGGCTCTCTTCTCGAGGTCCTCTCTCTTCTAGGCCCTTTGCCAACCCCCTGGCCGAGTTGCAGGGGCGGCAGATTCCGTATCATCGCGCACCAGTCGTTGGTGATGGCATGCATGCAGCTAGGGTTGTTTGCCTGTTGGCTGCCGAGCTTGCCTTGATTGCTCACAATGATGAACAACTTTCGTCAGGCAGGCCGTTGTGCCAAGGAGGGCAGGTAGGGCAGAGATCTTCGGGAGGGGCGGGCGGAACGGTTCCTGGACTGAAGAAAGTCGATGGCGGCAGATGCATCTTCTCCATCTTTCCACTTGCCCCCCTCTCAGGTATGCGCAAGATAAGCAAGAGGTGGCGGTCCACATGAGGTGCGCGGTTGGTGGTTAGTACAATGCATTGTTCTGTTGTCACCTGTTCTGGGCGGCCGGCTTCCCCTCTTCTTCGCTCATCTTTCCCCATCTGTGTTCCATCTGTGTCCATCTGTGCCCATCATGGTTCGAGCACACGATCGTGTGATGGAAATGCCAATGGTTGCATGATGCAGATAACTCGAAATGAGCATGTCGATGGGGCCAAGGGGGGGGGCGGCTGCGGGAGGCTGGCTCGTCATCACCGCTCGAGTCAGGAATTGACGTTGGCGCCAACAGACAGAAGGCAGCATGGAGACGGGCCGGATGGAGAAGGCGGAAGGAAAAGAGGCACAAGACGCGGAAAAAGTAGACGAGAGAAGAACCGCATGCGGAACAAGGAGAAGCTAGAGGCGCGCACCTACTTTGGACTTTGGACGAAGACGGATGGATAAGGACGCCTTGGGTAGGTAGGTATCTACGCATGTAGGTCGGGAGGTCGGGGGGTCGTCAAAGGGCAGCAGCAGCGCGAAGGGAAGATCGCTTGAGGCAGCAACTGTCGAGGGCGAGGCTGCACCCACAGCAGGCTGCAGTCACAGCAGGCAGGCAGGCAGGCAGGCAGGCAGGCGGTCAGCCTCTTCTTCACCCTTCAGCCTTTTCTTCGCCTCGAGCCTTTTCTTCGCCATGCAACGCCCAGACTTCCTCCCGTCTTTCGTCTCTCTCTGGTTCCGCGGTGCCTGTTCTTGTGGCTGAGGCTAGCCCCGGCGGGCTCGGCCGTCGCGCTACTCCTCGACGCTGCCGCGGCTACACGGAGCTGCCAAGGGCTTAGCATCTCGACAGACGCGCCGTCGGCAGGTTCAGCACGTCTCGAGTCGGGTTCAAAGACCAAACGTGCATAACTTACTCGACGACCCTTGCACAAATGTCACCCTACACGGTCTTTTTCGTGGTTTGATGGTCACGATGACAGACAATGACAGTTGCGCAAGATGCGCCCGTCGAGGGGTGGACCAACGTACGCCCTCTGACTCTTCGCCTGTTGCCTCGGAACAAATCACGAACAGATCCTTGTCCGACGGTGCCCAGCTCGGCGTCGCGATGATGCTCGTGAAGGCATGTGTCGGAGATGCGCACCTAGGTTTCTACTTGGCACCTGAAAGTGATGGTTCTCTGGCGTGGCCTCGTTGGCGCCGCCCTGCAGCGCCATTCACCCGCCTGTGATGCTGCGGATCGTGTGCAAGACGGCAAGTCAAGGTTGCAGAAAACACCACATCTCGAACGAGGATCAGCATCGTATGCCGAAGCTCCAGACCCAGACCAACCCAGCATGCAAGTGGGGGCCGCAAAGTCAAAGGGCCAGGTGTAGATGTGACCAACATGGTGCGAGGGGATCTTGCCCCGTTAGGAGGGAGAACGGATTACGTCTGTCAAAAGCATCCTCATGTCTGCCAGGTTCGGATGGCTGTGAGGGTCCTGTGCACGCGTGCACGCTGTCTACAGATTGACGTAAGGCAGATTCGAGGGGGGCTCGAGGGCGTCCTGGAATACGCTGGGGTCGCGATGAAATGTGTCTCCTGTTGATGCGTAGGCCGTGTGTCGTCGGACTAGGCAACCCACGATACACAATTCAACACTTGCACGGCTTTGCTGGAATAGAGGCCTGTCGCTGCCGATGCATACATGGAAGAGAAGTAGGTGACATGCGAACGTTCGAAGCTCTATGCCCCGAGCCCAACGTTGCCATCATCCGATTCACGTTCCATTAGGCGGCGTGAAGGTACATTGCGTGGCCGCAGCCCCAATACCGTCGAGTTGCCGTTGATCGTGAAGCCGCCCTGAGACTAGCCACGTAGTAGTACCATACCGAGTTGCGCATTCACAAGATTTTTCAAAGTCCATGCCAGCGAGTCAGCATCGTATACTCAGAGTTTCCTGCACGAGAAGTCGAGTTTTCTGCACGAGAAGTCGAGAGTTTGATTTTGTGGCTAGCCGTCTCGAGGGACTGCTGGGAGACTCAGAATGAATTCTTGCACGAGAAGCCTACCACATCCCGTGTACAGTCCAAACACGTCTCGCAGTATCGGACTTGCATCTGTGTCAGAGCAAACGACGCCCATGGACTCAGCAGGGAGCTGCACTTGAAAGGCACGATGGACCAACGCAAGTCTCCCTCAACGGCAGACAAGTCATTTCATAAAATCGTCTTCACCTTTCGAGGTGTTGTTGGAGCGAGGCCCGACGAGCTACGAGGTACCTAGGTAGGTACACCAGCTAAGGGCAAGGCACCTGAGGCACCGTGTACATCACCAGGCAATAGCCAGGAGCGGCCAAGCCCCGGCAGTAGCCCAGACCCGCCACAAACGGCTGGATTCGGTGACGTCAAGAACGAGACGCGCTGGCGCTTGTCATTTTGCCTACGTGCCCACCTGCCTCGGTGCCCATCTTCGCCTCTGGCCGAAATCCAGTGATGCACGGCGAGTCGACTAGACGACGATCATGCCCCCAATCTCCATGTCCACAGTCCTGCCATGATCTCGAGGGCGCGCCCAGCGACATGGGCTTTCCGAGCGCCACCAGCACCCGTCGCAGCGTCTCGAGCAACGCGGTCGAGGGCTCTGCGCACCACACCACAGCCATGGAAGGACCACCATGACCCGAGGCTCAAGGAGGTCGGAAGGGAGATCCTGGATGATTACGCCCAAGTCAGAGACCACTATGGTACCCTCGACCCTCTCCCATGAACGTTCGCCGACGTCCCTGGCCCCCCCCAAGCTGACCGAACGCAGAGTCGCCCAAGAACGCGCTCGTCCTGGCCCACGGGCTCCTGGGCTTTTCCGAGATCCGCGCGCCCCTCCAGTTCCTGCCGGCGATACACTACTGGCACGGCATCACCGACGCCCTGCAGACCCTCGCGCCCTCGCTGCCCATCATCACGCCGTCCGTGCCGCCGACGGGCTCCATCGAGCAGCGCGCCGAGGCCCTCGCCGCCGCCATTGAGGCCGGCGCGCCCCGCGGCCGCCCCGTCAACATCATCGCCCACTCCATGGGCGGCCTCGACGCGCGCTACATGATCTCGCGCCTGCGGCCCGCCGGCCTCCGCGTCGCGAGCCTCGTCACCATCTCGACGCCCCACCACGGCAGCGCCTTTGCCGACTTTATGCTGCACGCCGCCCGCCTGTCCGACTGGTACGGCGTCATGGGCACCGTCGGCCTCGGCACCGGCGCCTTCGACCAGCTGACGACGGCCTACCTGCGCGACGACTTCAACCCGGCCACGCCCGACGACCCGGACACGCGCTACTTCAGCTTCGGCGCCGCCACCGACCTGCCCGGCCTGCTGAGCCCCTTCCGCCACAGCTGGCGTGTCGTCACGCGCGACGAGGGCCCCAACGATGGTCTCGTCAGTGTCAGGAGCAGCCGCTGGGGGGACTACCGCGGCACCCTCCGCGACGTGAGCCACCTCGACCTCATCAACTGGACGAACCGCCTGCGCTGGGAGACGAGGCGTATCTGGACCGGGCAGCGCCGGCCCTTCAACGCCGTTGCCTTGTATCTCGACATTGCTGACATGCTGGCCAAGGAGGGCCTCTAACTGGTGTCGGACGGAACTTCAAACGGACACATCGTGGTTCTGGTTGAAACAAAAAATGCCGTGTACGCTGTCTCAGGGCATACATGAAAAGCCTGCGGAAAGTGAGGAGGAAATGTAACATAGACAGCGGTTATCGTGCGCCCTACATCTAGATTCAACGGAAGACAATGTCCACTTAGTAACCGCAACGCCTCTTTAGCCTGTAACACCTCCCGTCCGCTCCTGGTATCTATGCCCGCATCATGCCATTCATCGTGCAGCTCATTACAGTATCTCCCCTCACACTCATTCGCCCCCTTCCCTCCCTAGCTCTTGGTCGGCACATCACTGGGCGCGTTCTCGTTCGTGACACCGCTAAACGCCGGTCGCGCCTGGGCCGTCCCCTCAAACGGCGCACCTGCCGTGTCCGCCATGGCCTCGTCATAGCTCGGAGGCGCGTCGTCCGGCGGCGGTGCACCATCGTTGCTGAGTTGCGGCGGATACAGCGGGTCATGCTGTGGTTGCGGCGGGGCCTGGTGCGGATGCGCCATCGTGTGCGTCGATGCCGACGAGGCCATGCCCGCCGTGTTTGTTCGCGGCGGTAACCTTGGGGGCCGGCTCAGAGTCGCCGCCGCCGGTTTGTTCTGCTGCTCCTGCAGGGACTGTAGCAGCCCTGGCGGAGGAGCAATGTTTGAGTAGACCTGGACCTTGGCAAAGGTCAGCGGCAGATAGATGGTCTGCGGCGGCGGCTCTTTGCGGGCTAGCAGGCCTCCAGAGCGTGTGGGCGCGCCCCAGCTGAGGCCCACCTTGAGCTCGAGCTCGTAGGTCCGCTGGAGGTTGCACGTGGCGAAGGAAGGCGCGACCGTGTTGGGCAGAGGGACGTGCCGCCAGACATCATCGGGCACAACAGACTCGACGCCCACCTCGTCCGTCGCTGGGTTCTGCAGCAGGGGCGTGTTGAGGTTGACCTGATGCACAATGGTCCAGCGGCTTGGGTGCTTGTAGTTCAGGTCGTGAGCTCGCAAGGTCATGGTGCCCACGAGTTCGATTTGCAGAGAGGTCAGATACACCTGCTCGTTCGAGGGCACCAGCTTCTTCGCGATGAGCCGCAGCGGAACGGACTGGTTGCAGGTGAGGATGGGGGGATGAGGAAGACGAGCAGACAGCTCGATCGAAGGCGGTGCGGCCTCGGCGAACGCTTTACTCGAGGCCTCCTCCTTCTCCTTCTCCCTTTCCCTCTCCTTGTCTTTGGCTGTCATGAAGAAAGAGCTGCGCTTCTTCTGTAAGGGAGGTGCAACGGCTGGCGTGGAAATGCGCGGCTTGAAGGTAAAGGGGCGGCGCGCAAAGGCTTCCTGGGTGGTGCGGGGAGGGCGAGGGGGCTCGATGGGCATGAACTTGAAGCCGATCTGGTAGCGCCAGTTCTCCTTGAGCAGGCCTGGCCGCTGAATGGTCACCTTGACGTAGTAACGCACCTCAGCAGCCATGGGCATGCCTGTGAAGGAGGGGGGCAGTGTCTTGGTGACGTGAGGCATGAACAGCTGCTTGCTGCCGTCCATGACACGCATGCCACCGATGCCAAATATGCCACCCCCGGCGCCAAAGCCACCGAGGCCGCCGAGGCCTCCGATCTTGGACATGGCGACGGGGTCGCTGCAGGCGTTGTTGAGGGGCAGCTTGAACTTGAAGGGAAACTCATGCTGGCCGTTGGGGAGGACAAAGTTGCCGCCGACGGAGCCGTTGGCGACATCGTCCTCATAGGTAGGGAAGACCTGTTGGACCTTGTACAGAATCTTGTGGTTCTCACTCAGCACGTTGCCAGGGGGGCCGCTGCCGGGAAGCCGGGGCGGTTGCGGGGTGCCGTAGTCATCGAAGCCACCGGGAATGGCGAGAGCCGTTTTGGACTCTCCTTCGAGCTTGACAATGATGCCGCCGACGCTCTCGGGGCGACTCAAGGACAGAATGATGCGGCCGTCGATTGAGTCGAGGTTGGTGTAGAACTCGGGTTGGTTGTCCAAGGCTATGCGAATCGACATGGTGGCGGGTTGCACCCGAGAGCAGCGGCCAGGTCACGTCAGGAGAGCGGCCGGGTGGATGTGAGGCGTCGGGAGTTACTTGTAGGTACGTGGTGGAACCGTGGGACCGTGAGACTGTGAGACTTAAAGCCGTTGGACTGTGACTGTCAAGCCGTGGGACTGTGACTGTCAAGCCGTGGGACTGTGACTGTTAAGCCGTGGGACTGTGGGACCGTGGGAATGTGAGTGAGACCGTGAAGCTGTGAGATGGTCGTGAGTGAGCGACGAGGAGCAGAGGTGGCTCGGGGCTGCTTGGTGGTGACTGTGGCTGGTTCGAGCGAGGCTTGTCGAGACAAGAGACGTGGCGAGCGAGGGATTTGCGGAACGCGGCTTGATGAATTGATTCGATGGAAGATGATCGAGAATGGATACAGCTACTGACAAGCGAATAGTAGAAGTCCGGGTCCAGGCGTGTTTCTTGTTTCGTGCTTGTCCCCCGAACACCAGAACAGAGACCAGCCGCGCGGTACGCGCACTGGGCCACGTACCCCAATACCTGGTCTGTAGGTCTGATCCGAGGCGAAGCAGTTGGCGGGCTGACGATGCGCGATGAGACAGACAGGCAGACGAGCAGACTCGACAAATTGGCAGACATACAGTGGGACAAACTGACGTCCCTTCGTCACCAGGATGAAGGTGGTCACTGACGACCAAGGCAGGCTGTGCATGTGCAACCCACCTTGGTACGTGCCCACTCGCCCACTTGCCCAATTGCCCGCCCACCTGCTGCATTGCACACCTGCTCACGTACCTTGCCAAGACACAGGGAGGTAGGTAGGTGCCTGCACACCTCATCAGTGTCTCTCGCGGGCCACGCTCTGCTTCGTTCTGGTGGCGCCCGTGGGGCTGATGTCATTGCCATCTGTCCGCCTCGTCCCTGCTTTCCATTGTTGCACTTGCATGCTGCACTCAGGTGCAGTACGGCAGCCACCTGCCGCCGAGCTTGCACAGGCACCGAGAAACAGTACTAACCTGACCTACCTACCTGGGGTAGGTAGGTATCAGACGGCACGTTCATAGAGGTATCGTTCTTGCCTAGGTACCTAGGTAGGTGAGCAGGCGCAGTCGCAGTCGCAGTCGCAGTCGCAAAGGCCGTCTTCAAGAGGAGCACGAAGTAGTGTGAGCCATGCCTCGCTATTATCCTAGCCACCTAGATACCTAGGTACCGCAATTCAGCTATCGAATCTAGTAGGGCAAGGAAGCCATCGAAAATCCTTCTCGGCCAGGCCTGGGCTCACATCCCTTCGCCGCTGCAGCATTCACCCAATCCATGCCACGACCGCCATGCCGCGACGACCTTGCCGCCCGCTGTTGAAATCGTCGCCAGACGACCAACATTCCATTCCTCCCAAACGCCTAAGCCATGTGGTATCATCGCAAACCTTGTTTCAAGTGAGAAAGGGACAGGGAGAGAACGGGAGAAAAAAGAAAGGAGAGAACAAGCTGGAAAAGCAAAAGCCATAAAAAAAAGAAAGAAAAAACCCCATTTCGCCCTGCCACGTCCAAGCGTGGCACAGGAGAGACTGACCCAAAAATGGAAATGACGATTTCAGTCCAAGACAATCACCTCGACCGCCCCCCGAACCTCCGTCTGGTGGTCCGTCTTGGGCCGCTTTGGCGGCCGTCGCGGTTCTGCTTCCACATCACTCTCGTCCTCGCTGTCCGGCTGCTCCGCCTTCGGGCTCCATGTTCCGTCTGGCCCGACGTTGATGCTCTTGGTGCGTGTCAGACCCTGGCGCATAAGAGCCTCTCGCACTTCCACCATGAATCCGTCAACTCGAAGGCTGCCTGGTCGGGCGTCCTTGTCGCACAGTGGACATTTCCACTTGTCCGTCAGCGACGGCTCCGCGCCCAGTGCCCTGCTGCGTCTACATAGCCCACAGCCGCACTTGAGCGAGTGAACCGATGCTGACTTGCCGAGCCTCGTGCCGAGCCATACCTCAAGGTCGAAACACTCTAGGTGCGTGCACGAGGACCCGCGCACCGGGATCTTGAACATGGTGGCCGTGAAGGGGTCTGCCAAGTCGATACTGAGATTGCTGAAGATGATGGGCGCGTCGTCGTCGTCTCGACCGCTCTGGCCCACCGGTGTCAGCCGCTCTCGCACAATGCGCCTCGTCGCTTCCGCAGGAAGTACCCCTCGCTCAGAGACCATGGCCATGATGCGGCTATGGGTCAGCGTCACCACCTTTTCCACCGCCACCATCGTGGCATGTCCGGCCTTGGGCGCCACGTTCGGCACGGACAGCTTCACCACGTTCCGCCCTCCTCGAATCAGCCTTGTCAGCTCGGCTGGCTGGTCCTGGCCGTTGTGCAGTTTGCGCCGAATCTTGACTGCCTGACTGTTGCACATGATGTAGATATGGGCTGGCCACTGTGTCGACACTGTCGACCACGCTGCTTCCGACAACGACCCACGGCTATTGAGAGCGACCTCGCAGACACGAAGCCGAAACCGAAGTGAACCGTCAAAATAGTCGCACAGAATCTGTCGTTCGCCCGGAGGCATGCTATACGTGCTCAGGCGCTTCAGTTCGTCGTCAGAGACCTCAAAGTCGAGCTGATGAATGGACTGATCAGGGTTGATGGCCAATGGCCCACTGACAATCTCCCCTAAGCATTGGTAATGCTTTTCCTGCGTAGATACCGACTGTTCAAGGGGTAGTTGTCTCGGGACACGCCGTGGGCTGGCCACATCAACCTGATGAAGAGCCATATCGATCGACTTTTTGTCATAGGGCGACATCGCCATCCGGTCGATACCTAGCGTCACGCCCCGGGGCGGTAGCAGACTGTTGGGTCTCGCTACTTCGGAAGTCGCGGGAGCAAGAACAGAAGGGTGATTGCTAGTTAGCCTCGGTCGTGCAGAAGGCTGAACAATGCCAGCACCATGTAGGCTCGCTTGCCCTGGTCTTGCTGATCGAGATAGGGACTCTTGAATTGTCGAATTCAAAGGAAGTTGGCGAGCTAGAGGAGACACTTCGTACTGTTGGCCGATATGGTAGTGTTCGCCACCAGAGACATAGCCTTGCACGGACTGACCCTGATGCCTTGGGTACGGGGAGTGGTATTCGTAGTGGTGTGGGGGTTGGCTTATATCGGGCGCTGAAGGCATCTGATATGAGGCTGCATGGGAATTGCCTAAAGGAGACGGATGTATACCATTTCCGCCCGTCGCAGGCTGCATGGCCACGAGGGGATGCGTAGTATCTGGCATCTGCTGTGAACGTTCTTGTTGCCTTTGAAGGTGCGAATCCAGGCTTTGATGGGACTGAAGATGATATTGTGGCGATGGCAGGGGCGGCAACTGTTGCTGCTGCTGCTGCCTCCGCCCATTTGTGTTATTCGCTGAGCCTGGACTCGAACTTGAGTCAAGTGGGACTTGTGCTTGCTTGCCCTGGTTCTGCACTTCGACCTGAGACTGCCGCAGGAGGCTCCTATACGCGGCAACAATCGAAGTGGAGAGGTCTTGCTGTCCGGTGGCGCAACTCTTATGATTGTAATTGTCTTGGTCCTGGGCAAACACTGCAGACATTTTGTGAGCTATGCGCCCGTCCGGGACGCCCAAGTGTCGTCTTGCCACAGTGAAAAGAACATTTTCAAGCGAAGGCGATGCAAGGGCAAGCTCGTTTCGAAGCTCCATTATCCGTATAGGGAATCCCCTGTTCGTAACACGCGGTAGCAAGTCGGTTTGCCACATCCGGGAGAAATTCCTCAAGAAGATACCAATCGGGGCAAGATGCGCACTTGGCCACTGGGAAGGCAACACGCATGGGAAAGACGCGAACCAACGGAGATGGTTTGCAGACATGCTGGTGTTGGGCTTCAGAACAGTCTGCAAGAGGAAAAGGGCGTTGTCCATCGTCGCGGATGAGATATTGGTCAAATGGTGAACAGAGGTTGCGTCAAGGGACCAGGCACAGAAAATTTGATGCAGAATTATGAAGAAAACGTCCCCGGATGACAATGCAGACATGAGAATCCGGGATCGCGGCAGGACAGTAGAGTCATTGGCTTCCAAGAGGCTGCTCTCGACCAGCTGCATTCGTGCGCTAAGAGTCTGACGCATCCAAACCCAGTCCATACTGATTTTGGCCAGAGGTGGGACTGGCTGCACGTTGTAAGTTGAGCCTGAATTTGAGCCGGAACTGAAGGTGGTAGGCTGGTGAATGAACGGGGCGCCTCCAGTTCTCACTTGGGCCGTTATCGCAGACTGACTTGGTGCTATTGCTGAAATAGGCAGACTTTGAGCGCCCTCGCGACTCGCGGGAGTGGTAGTCTCCCAGGCGCGCGATCTGTTGGGATTTGTGGGTGTTGGCAACTGGCCGGGTCCTGCAAGGCGGGGAGGGTGTTGTCGGAGAGTGTGCGACGCAGTGGATTCAGGAGCAGAAGCCGCCACAACTCTGAAGCTCGCTGGCCGCTCAAATGTAAAAGGACCCGGGGCAGGACTTGCCAGGGGAGTCGTAGATGAAGGACTTGGCTCGTCTGTGGGGGACGGCGATGGAAGCGCTGTTTCTGATTCCTCACTGCCGATGATCAGTTTCAGCTTCTTCACAATCGTGTAGCCCGTCCTTGCCTACAGAAGCAACAGGAGGGCGGAGAGCACTTACGTGACATTTTTTGGACCTGCCGCAGTGCCCTTCTGCTGAGATATTCTAGAAAACGGGTCTCGTTCGATGTTTGACGGGGGAGGGCCTTGTAATCTGGATGTCGTTGGAGGTTGCCGACCACCGACATAGGCAGGTTGCGGTGGTTGTGTTTGGGTATGCCCAATCTTGGGGGTTATCCATGCTGGCCGAGGACCACCGAGAAAGGCGTTGACAGTTCGATTAGAGGCCGTAACCTGGGCGTCACTGAGGTTCATGCCTTGACGCCCTGGCGGAGGCATGTTCGAGCGGGAGATGGGAGCGGAAGATCTTTAGTAAATGTCGAAATGCTATAGGGTTTCGCAAGTCTGCTAGCAGACAACTGTCAACATCCTCATAAGCAAGAGTCAGTATCAGCACTGGGGAGAACCAACCATGAGGAAGCCCGATTATGTCCCATGCGGCGGAAGGCAAGAAGTTGGAGGAAAGATGTCGGAGGCTCACTGTAACACGCGTTACTACCCCGGGTTGCGTAATGGAGCGCCGTGTCGCAAGGGTGGTAATGCGACGGAGAACATTGATCGGGAAGCAGCCTGTGGTCCCAATGCTTTGACGGAGTTCTTCGGTTATCCTTGAAATGACTAAAAGCCGTCTGATGTTCTCGCTGGTCGTATCGTGAAGTGCGCTTGGAGTGCGACTGAAGATGGGCAAAATGAAGTCTGGGTGGAGCGTGGTAATGGACTAAAATGGAGCTGATCCGCCGGTGGAGTTGAAAGGCAGGGAACTTGGAGGTAAGGTAATTAGGCAAAGCAGGGCCTCTTGAACAGAAAGGGCTAGACCGCTTTGTGAGGATACCTAGTCACCCCTAAGGCACCTACCTACCCAAAAAGTGCTACACCATCTTAAAAGACCTCCACTAGGATGCACGGCCACAGGCTTGTCCTGACAGGCGGGGTAGATACCTAGGTACCTACCTAGGTACCGTGGTAAGGTACTTCGGGCCTGCTGGGTGCTGCTGCTACTACAGTATCATAGTGCATATGCTTGTCAGCCCTGAATTCTAATAGACATCACATCGCGGAAAGCGACATGTCGAAAGACATTGGAGCTGCATTCATCGTGATCAATAGACTCGGCTTGAAAAGAGCTACCTGGTCGTCAAAAGAGTCGTGTTCCGTAAAAATAGACCGTATCAACGCTGATACAACTTGTATGCTGCTCTTCATCGTCGCGGTGCAGCACGCAATGATCAAAGTCATGTAACATCATTTCAAATGTGCACTCTGACTGTTAGGTACAAACGTAGATGCAGTAGGAAACTTGTGATTTCCATGTACGATGTTATACACCTGAATTAAGGTAGCTACCCGTCGAAACACGGTACCTAATGGATTGCCACTTCAGCAGGACGGCCATCAGGTTTGGGCAAGTCAGATGTGAGGCTCAGAATACCTGTATTGGGCTGCTTCCCCTAGGTAATCACAAATGGGGCACCAACCCTGAGGCAGTAGTGGGTCTAGCAATCTAGCTAACTGTCAGGACAGGCTTTCAGGTCAATAAGGGGGGATGCTGGTGTGCGCATGTCTGGCGTTGTAGGGAATTCCTTCACTGCAATGAGGATGCGGCAACCATGTAACTCGTCGAGTTTTGAGCTGCGGCCTGCGGCAACCATCTGACCTCGTCTTCTGACGATATATTCTGCCTCCCAATCTTCGCTCTGGTTTCCCCTGGATCACTTGAACCAGACGACCCGTCAACACGCGGAGCACAACGATCCTGCATCGCTTGTACGTCACCGCACTCTGGTGCCCATGTGCATTGCCTACCTAGAATCGATACGGAAGTAATCTGCCCTTCGACAATGCAGCGGAAGTGCTCTTCGGGCCCCTGTGGCGGGTCCGGTACCTGGCCAGACCATTCGTCATTTTTGGCTCCACTCTGTTTGGCTTTAGGCGGCGCGAGGTTCAACACGCCTTTCCCTTTTCATCTCCTCCGCCATCTTCATCTGCTGTCTTGGTCGCTCACCAATCAGTCCATCAATCCACACTCAGATGCATCCGAGTCAGAACTCAACCCTGACGAGCTGACAGTCGTGATAGATTCCTATCCACGTTTTTCCTCAAGGCCCTTCCTTTGCATCATTGTCACCTTCCCCTCCTCCCTGCCGATCAACTACCCGGGACAATCTCACCCCACCGCTGGGATCCCACCCATTCGTAGTGGCTCGACTCCTTATCCTTAATACAGAAACCGACCTACCTAATAACCGTACCTTATCCAACCCCCCCTCCCCCAGTCGAACAATCGAGCGCCGACCCTCCGACCTGCCTCGTCTGGCCACCAGGTTCTTTTGCGCCATTCGCCCATGCCCAATAGCCATCCTCCACGCTCGTTCCTGTTCTCGACGATCCCCTCCAATCATATCTCGATGCAACGCCATTGATCAGTACTCCATACTCCAGCCTCCAACCTCCGTCCCTCCACCTTGCAGCTTTCACGGCGACTGTTCGTGCCACTCCTCAACTCCCTCGCCACCACCTCGGCGACGAGGCAGCCATTAGCCAACGAGACAGGCGACGACCCCCTGACGACACGATTTCTGGGTGCGAGTCCCATTGTCATTGCCGCAGAGCTCGAACTACGACCCCATTCTCTTGCCCTATCCAGCCTAACCCGACGACCACGTTTGACATTTCGCTTCCTCCATTCGGCCCTCTATTGCGCACACCACCCGCTGGCTGTTCCCATAGTCCGAATGTGATTTCGTCGAGCCTCATTGTCTTTCACCAGCGCCTCCAGCTCCTGTCAAGCTGCGACTGCCGTCGCGGGACGTGATGGCTGCGAGACCACCAAACGAGGGTCATCCCAAGCCAGATGCTGGCGACACCCTTCTTGTCATTCGTAAGTCCGGTTGACGATGTCGATCCTCCGTGCTTTCTCCGCGGTGATCTACCGTTGTCGTATCCTCGCACCCCTGCCTGGATTGCTTCTAATTTTCTGTAGATGACTTCCTTGCGAGAAGCTCTGACGAGCTAAGTCTTGTCAAAGGTGACCGTGTCGAGCTGATCGAAAGGGACGATGAATTTGGTGACGGCTGGTTTCTGGGCAAACACCTTGCGAACGGCAACAGCGGGCTCTTCCCCGAAGGTATGCAAGACCACCTTGGCTCCAAATCCGCCCCTCGACTAACCCTACGCCTTCTAGTGTACACACGACCTGCACCGAAAATCCAACATGCGAATGCCCCTTTGAACCATGTACCCATCGCCAAAGCGATCGAATCGCCGGCTGAGCCATCGCAAAATATAGGGAGTTCTAACACACTTGACCCTGCCCAAAGCGTGTCCGTTCCGTCCACACCACCTGTTGCGTCTCCTTCGAGTACAGATGCTGCGACTCCCGTAACGCTTCCCCTGAATGCAGCCAAAAAAGACGACGTCCCAAGCCAGCCTCAGCCATCAATCTCCGGACCCAGTTTTGGCTCGCTCAGCAGTCTCGAGGCCGGCCCGGACAGCCACGTTCTCCATGAGACATTGAATGTCATTGACGAACACATAACCGATTTACGATCTCCGCCAAGCTCAAGTGGTCTTCGTGCCGCCACCAACGATTCGGGCAGCGAATACAGCACCCAACTCGATCATCGGCTCTCCTACATCCAGGGTGAAGAGACAGATGAAGAAGAAGAGGGGGCTCACTCAAGGCTCGAAGTGGAGGCATGGTCGCCTGACCAAGTCGCGGAGCACCTTTTCACGGCAGGTGTCGAAAAGCATCACTGTGAAGTGTTTCGCGATCAGGAGATTACTGGCGACGTTCTTTTGGGCATGGACCAGAGTTCTCTTTTCATCAAAGCATTCGACCTGGGGTCTGTAGGACGGCGGCTTAAGACATGGCAGAAGATCAAAGCACTGCAGGACGAATGCAATGGGCAGGGCATTGCCACTAAAAGGACGACGCAGACGTACGGCAGCGATGCTGGCTCGGATGGTAGACGGACCCGAAGTAGGACAAGCACTATGACCAACTCCATGCACAGATTACCACCGGGCGACGACAGGACCATGTCGATACAAACGAGACGCCTATCCATCACACAAACACCACGGATGGAAGCAGCCGGGCTCGTTTCGCCCATCTCCTCGACGGTGCTAGGAGATAGCCCCCCCCGACCATCTCACATCAAACGACCATCTGCCGCATCTGTTAGAGACTTACATCACTCGCGACGCCACTCTTCCACCGATTATCTTGGGACCGGCACAACCCCCGCGGCCAACATGATAAGCCCGAAATTGGAAACAAGCGGAACATTCCCTCAAGTCGATACTACTACCACACACAAGAAGCAACCCTCATTTGACAGGAACTGGTCACTCGGGAATGCCTTTTCATCGCCACGCCCTCTCTCTTCTGCCGGATTACAGGACGCCATGCATCAGTCTGGACTTAGTGTGCAGGAAACGGCACCTGACCTGGATCGCGGATATTTCAGTGGGAATGAAGTGGATGGCCGGCGGCGTAATGTGCTGAGGAAACGCGACAGCGGTGCTCATTCGAAGAAGAACAGCTACGCTGACGAGCAGCGTGTGCGAAGTGCAACAGCGATATCAAGACACTCGCGGTATGGGAGCATTGATGCTCCTCGCGAAGGTGCACCATCTGCAGCTGCACAAAAGTACTACGGTCTCCAATCAGGCCCTCATAAGCGTGCCACGTCTACCAGCACAACTCGATCTATCCCACGCGTACCCTCGATCCGGGAAGCACCGTCACCCGTTGTCACCAAGCTTGATAGCGCGTCCAGAGACTTGCCTCTCGTTTCGGGGTCGCCTGCCAATAGGCAAAACGTAAACTCTGACTGGTTGGCGTCGCTTGTCAACAAGCCCACAGTCAAGATTGGCGGCTTGAGAGCGACTTCGGACATCTCATCTGGAGAGCGCGTACGAATCACGTCACCCGTCGATACCACTGTCAAGGATTCGCCTCTGCCTTCTCCTGCACCAACGGGGTCCAGCACGCCGTCCGCAGGGCCGAGCTTCGACCTGGAGTCGCCTGGGAATGGGAAAATGAGCCCTAGCACCACGACAACAGCCGCTAGTAAATCCAGCCGCAGGAAGGGAAAGAAGGAAACAAGCGCCTATCAACGAGGACTGCAGAAGATTGGACCGAAAGAGGCCATGAAAGACGCAGACTACAGCGGGTGGATGAAAAAGAAGAGCTCGAATCTGATGACGACCTGGAAGCCTCGACTTTTTGTCCTGAAAGGAAGACGTCTGGCCTACTTCTATTCAGAAGATGACCAGCAAGAGAAGGGCTTGATCGATATCTCTTTCCACCGTGTGCTGCCAGCAGACAATGAGAAGCTGACAGGTCTTCACGCGACCCTGACTGGGGCGGGATCTGCCGCAGCACCTGCCGCCAGCACTCTCGCGCAACCAGAGGTCGCCCTGGACAAGGGAGACGACTCGATGTTTATTTTCAAGCTCGTACCCCCGCGCACAGGACTGACCCGCGCGGTCAATTTCACCAAGCCCACAGTCCACTATTTTGCAGTCCCTAATCTGCAGCAGGGACGACTATGGATGGCAGCTCTCGTCAAGGCTACCATCGACCGGGACGATACTCAACCTATAACCACGACATATCAGCAGAAGACCATATCACTTGCGAAAGCAAGGGCCATGCGTCACCGACCACCTGCACTAATGAACCTGGACGAGACACCCGAGGAGGACAAGAAGAACGTGGGAGGCTCCAACAAGGACGCAAATCTCCTTGGTATTCATTTCGGCGAGACGGACAGTGGTGTGTCCGGCTTGGAGAAGCCGGGCCCACAAAAGGTAGAAAGTGCCAACGCGCAGAAGCTCTTCTTTGATGCTGAAAGCAGTGCCACTCCTCCGCCTCAGAGCGCATAGAGGCGCCTACGGGGTTTACGGCCACTGCGAAAGAATGCTGGCAAGACCCCGGCAACGTGATGGGGGCTTGGCTTGGTCAAATTCGTCAGTGCGTCATGGTTGATATTTCGATTTCTGGAGACACAATTAATGAAGAGGTGGTTCGAGCGCGAAACCCATTTAACACTGCAGCTGACAGTTTAAGTGTTATAATCATTGGGAAGAGATACTCGTCATCGATCCAGACATTCGCCGAATCAAGGCCACCCATCCCAGTCTGGCCCCTTGTCGGATTCAGGAGCCCTGGGGCGTTGGCCTTAAGATCTGGTCTGCGATGGCGTCGATGATGCCCTTGGAGCAGGGGGTAAGGGGGCAGGGAGCTCTAAGACGCGATACGCCACCGACCAGCGTGTACATGGTTTGCTTGTTCATGAGTACAATGACGGCTGGTTCTAGCTAGACATATCTACTATCCTGGTAGATCACCTATATGATGCGGACAATTTCAGTTCGAAATGTTCTTTACGCCCGGCAGGCTTCACTTACGACGGTGACAATTCATGACGATGCTGAGCATGCCCCTTTGGATGCAACGCCCTAGAAGACCAAATGCTGACAGCTTAGGAGAGGACTCCTCATCAAAGCTTGGCCTTCTTTCCATTCACTCGAGGCTTGACCGGAATCTTGGGGTGGCCACCATCCAGTGTCAGGCCCGTGATCTTCTCCAGCTCTTCGACGGCTTCGTAAGCCCGCCCCAGATGGACCTTGATCGTCCTAAAGCCTTTTTGCTTTCCACCTTTCAGGTTCTCGCCGATGTCGTCAAGAAACAAGACGTCGCCCGCAGTGACGCCGTCGGCCCATCCGCACCTTCGTCCCCTCTCCGTATCAGCATTCTTGGCGACAAACTGGCTAACCGTATCGAGAGCAAGCTGGTATGCTTTGGGGTCCGGCTTCCGCAGTCCCACGTGCGCCGAGGAAACAAAGACGTCAAACAAACCACGGACGGGGTCGTCAAGGAAGTCTTCTTTCCAGAGAGGGTGCCCGCGCGGGAAAATAACCGTATTACTCAGTGCCGCGAGTACATAACGCCCGCTCTCCTTAAGTTTCTTCAAGGCAGGGAACATCCAGGGGTCTGGTGGAATGGAGTTGACCATCATCTCGTGGAACAGCTTCTCCCCATCGATAGATGGTACCGGGGGGGTTTCCCTAGGCAAACTAGGGTCCTTGGCCTGTTGCTCCCGGTAGAACTGCTCCCACCTAGTAGGATCACTCAGATCTTGATTGAAGCCCCTGAAGAATGCGTCGTCCATGGGGATGGATCCCGTTTCCAGCCGGTGCCAGAATCCGTTTGGCTTCGTCTTAGAGATGGAGTTGTTGACCCATCCTGGCGGAATGCCGAGGCCCAGCTCGAAGTCCAGGATTGACTGAAAGGGAGAAACAACCTGCCGACTATGAGACCTCACGACAATGACAGAAAGGCAGCCATCGACTTACACACACGCCGCCAATATCAAACAGAATAACTTTGGGTTGCTTAGAGTCCACCATGTCGGCGACGACGTCGAGAATAGAATCAACCTGGATTGGATCAAGCTGGTCGAGGGACTGCATCAGGTTCAGCGAGGACGACTATTTCAGCGACACAAAACACCCAGCGAAGGAGGACACTGTGAGGCATTGGCGCCGGCGACCGAGTCCCGCGAACCTCGGCACAGCTCCCCGCAGAGATCGGATGGGGGCCTGGGGTACCGCGACGGGTGGATATCCGTATCCTTGACGATTGCCCCCTTTACATAAGCACACATACACGTGACTCGTGGCCAACCTGGCAAGCCTGGTCTCTCGTCCCCCACCAGGCTTCCCGCCCTCGCCTGGGTCCCTGACGCCAGCCCACTTTGAGACTTATGGCGGGGCTGATAGGGCACGGCGACTTCAGAAATTCACCAGTGCCCACAGAATTTGGATCGGCTCTCTTTCAGGAATTCGAGATCGCGAACTTTTTTCGACCTTCACCTCCTCAACCCACCCATCACCTACTGACCTGTTTGCTGAGCACCTGCCAGCCAACCTACAGTCAAAATGGTAAGTTGAATACCACAGCGACTTGATGTCGTTGCCTATCCCAGGCCACGACACAAACAAAAGTCCATTGTCCTCAGTACCCGGCAGAAATGCCTTGATAGAGAGTCTTTGCAAGATGCTTCGGATCGAGGGTACAATCTGAAGCGCAAATTGCTGACTCGGGGGTTCTCTTTTGCGCAGACGTTCCACAAGCTGGTGAAGAACAACGCGTACTACAGGTAAGCACACACCTTTGGGGACCCGAATCATCCCAATTCCTCGTCGTAGGTCAATGCTAACTTGTAGTCCAGTCGCTTCCAGACCAAGTACAAGCGTAGGCAGCAGGGCAAGACCGACTACTACGCTCGCAAGCGCCTCATCACCCAGGCCAAGAACAAGTACAATGCGCCCAAGTACCGCATGGTCGTCCGCTTCACCAACAAGGACATCATCTGCCAGATCGTCACCTCTGAGATCTCTGGCGACAAGGTCTTCAGCGCCGCTTACGCCCACGAGCTCCCCGCTTTCGGCATCAAGCACGGTCTGACCAACTGGTCCGCCGCTTACGCCACCGGTCTCCTCCTCGCCCGCCGCACTCTTAGCAAGCTCGGCCTCGACAAGGAGTTCACCGGTGTTGAGGAGGCTGATGGCGAGTTCACCCTCACTGAGGCCGCCGAGACCGACGATGGCGAGCGCCGTCCCTTCAAGGCCTTCCTCGACGTCGGCCTTGCCCGCACCTCCACCGGTGCCCGTGTCTTCGGCGCCATGAAGGGTGCCTCCGACGGTGGCATTCTCATCCCCCACAACGAGAAGCGTTTCCCCGGTTACGACATGGAGTCCAAGGAGCTGGACGCTGAGACCCTCAAGCGTTACATCTTCGGTGGCCACGTTGCCGAGTACATGGAGACCCTCGCCGATGACGATGAGGAGCGCTACAAGTCCCAGTTCCAGCAGTACGTCGATGACGACGTCGAGGCTGACGGCGTTGAGGACATGTACACCGAGGCCCACGCCGCCATCCGTGAGGACCCCTGGAAGAAGGTCGAGGGCTCCAAGAAGACTAAGGAGGAGTGGAAGGCCGAGTCCCTCAAGTACAAGACTGCCCGCCTCACCAAGGAGGAGAAGGAGCAGCGCGTGCGCGAGAGGATCGTCGCCCTCCGCGACGAGTAAGCTTCTGGCACTTGGTTTGCTGGGTGCATGGCGGTGGTACGGGGCAGTGGCCCGCTTGTCCTAGTGTAGGACTGGCAGGGCGGCTGCAAAAAGCAATGACGTCTCGACATGATACGGGTCGTACTGGAGTTATAAGGATTCCTGGCAGGTTCATAGTCAAAAGGACGTTGCGACAAATGATTGATGATTCCCCCTTTCAAGCACCTGTGCCCCAGTTGTAGCTGGCCGTGAGTGTCGTGTGACGAAGTGAGAGCGTACATCGACAAGATGAATCAAACAAATCCGTATCTTCAGGCGACGGTGTAACTATCCGCCACAAGGACACGGGCGTCTTGGTCGGGCTCGGTGGTGGACCCTTCGGTAATCACGTCAGCGTGTGCAGATAGGATTGCGAGACTCTGAGGCCGACAGACTTCGGTTTCGGCAGGCACACAAAGGCGTTGTTTCCGCCGAAGAGAATGGGTAGCTTAGAGTCATTTGTGTAAGCTGATAGGAACCCTGACGGAGTCTGATTGTTCGGGGGGGGAGGGGGGGGGGGGCATCATGGTGGGAAAGGTGCTGAACAGCGCTTTCATCCTGCCCAGGGCTATTGGATACATTTTTCCATCGGCATCTGGAATCTTGCTTGCCCTCCCCCGCGGCATCCCCTTGAGCAACCCGCACGGCAGTCAAGGTCGGGGAATTTTTTCTCGCTCGGAGGCGCCCTGGCACGGTGACACATAGGGTTTGCAAGGTGGTATTCGCATGGTCGGCTGGCCAAGGCTCAAGAGGGACGAATTGCCGACAGGCCGAATCTTCGGACAAGTTCGGTTGTCAATTGACTGTGATCGGCGAACGCGGCGATTGGTATATTTCAATACTGAGTATCACGCAGGTTGGGGGGGACGGGGGGGGGGGGGGTGGTATTCGAGTTCTGTCGTCATGGTGTGGTCGGAAATTCCGTCAGGCCTTGGGCGTGGAAAATCCTCCCCACAGAGGGACGCGACCAGACATGCACACCACTGGCATCCATGATGGAGCGGAGCGCCGGGTGGGCACTCTGACGTTGGTGAGCGGGCAAGCAGTATAGTAGCTACCCGCCTGGGTACCTAGGTTGAGGGAGTCAGGTAGACACCTCAGTAAGCAATCGGCATCTTTGAGGGCTCCAGCGACCGAGGCCATCGGCGATGGACCTGTTTTGGGGCAATCCATTCTAAGGCGCAGCCAGGGCAGTGGATGTGAGTGCTGTGCGGTGCGGGCTTACAGGGGCTGTGCACTGAGCACAAGGCAAGGTAAAAGGCGAGGGTAACGAAGTAGTGGGCGACGCGCTGAGGCCTGACTGACGTGGTGGGGGCATTGCTGCGTCAGTGGCCACCCGGATCCCCGGTGGTGCTGCTGAGACTTGGCTGGCCAGACTGTTGGCTAGTTCGGCTTCTTCAGGGCACTGTCATCCCACCGTTTGCGGGGAGGACCAGGGACGTGGGCGAGCGTCAAGAGCTAAGAAGTTGTTCCCGGTAAAGTATTGCGCGCGCGTGCGTAAGGATGAGGGTGTGATTCTGCCGTCGAACACCATCATGTCGGTATTGATGATGGGCAAGAAGGTTTGGTGAATTGCCGTTTGTGCTCTCGCTTACTCGTTTTTCCCTCTCTTCCCTCTCGTCTTGGGCAGCCGATTGCATGGTTTGTGACGGACGCATGCCACGATTGTGCGCCCCATTAGCTCTACCGAAGCACGTCCACACGTCCCTACCTAGGTACCTAGGTACCTAGTAGAGGCACCTACCTGGTAAGGGTACATTAGCCTTACCCACCTTGCGTTAGCAAGTAGCTTCCCCACCTCTCTGCCGAACCAGCATCACGTATTGCCTCATTACTTGTCACTCCTAGCCACCCACTAGACCCTGCGTGACCTGGGGCCGGCCAGTTCCAGAGGTGCTTACAATTACATTGAGGGGAGCTTTCACTACCTATCTACCTACGTACCTACCTTACCTGTTCGTGCTTCCCGCCTCGCCCGCAGTCGCCGCCGCCGCCGACGCCGCCGCATCCAGCCAGCTCAACCTGCCCGCCCGCCCGCCAGCCCAGTCCTCGAATAACCTTTTGCCATCCACCACTTGGGAATCTATCTGCCTCAACTTTCTACCAACGACCACTCTGCTGCCTTTCTCTGCCCGTCGGATTCCCCACTACACTGCGAACCATGGACAACTGAACTTGCAACTCACCCGACGTCGCCAACATCCTCGACCTCAGTCCCCCTCCAGGCTCTTGCGACTTTCGGGCTTGTCTCCTCTACAGCCAGCGCTGCTGCTTCGCCCCCCCTCACCGTCGGGCGTGCTGTGCCAGGGTCTCCGCAACCCCCCAAGATGGAGCATGTTCACGGCGTCGACGTCAGCTGGATGACCCACGGCTCTCCAAAAGGTGACTCCCACCTCTCTTGCGGCCTCCTCGTATCTCACACATCTTCGGGGGACGACTGTCATCTTCTATTGGGTCAATTTACTAAATGCGCGATTCATCAATTCCAGACAAAGGTGCAAAAAACACCACGACCCGTCCGCTCACACAGCAACAGTCTCGGGAAACCCCACGATCCTCTCCAGCGTCCGTGGGCTCTGACGCGCCGTCACCGACGTCACCCACTTCTCCCGCCGCTGCCACCAGCGGCAGTAGCACCAACGGCAACACTGTCACTGAGAATGGCGCCTTGCCAAAGCCCATCCCCACGACTCGACCTGGGGTGAGGAGAACCGAATCGAGCGAGAAGCCTGGCCCCAACGGCACACCCCCGCATCGCAGGAACTCGTGGTTCTCTAGCATATCCTCCAAATTCTCCTCGTCCCCGAATCCAAGCACCACGGCCCCCAGTAGCAGTCCGACCGCCCAGCCGCCTCAGACCACGCCGCCCAAGGACACCACACCAGCCCCGCCCAAGGCGGTACCCAGCAGAAATGCCGTCCTTCAGCACGCGACCAAGCCCGATGGCGACCTGCCCTACACACCAGCTCCTCCCAGTCGCGGCCAGTCTAGTTTCCTTGGTGTCTTCCGTCGTCTGTCTTCTTCCGGCGGCGCTCTCCACAATAGCCAGAGGGGCAACCATGGGCTGGTCGAAAGAAAGATTCTCAACGTCGACCGAAACCGGGAGCGCTGTGCTATTGCTGCGCTTCACCAGGCCAAGCTCCGGAGGGTCGCTTTCAGTGTTGACGTCGAGATTGCACCCATGCCCAAATACACTGACGCGGAAAATGGTGTCAAGTCGACGGTCCCCGCCGACAAATCCACGAAGCGAAAGCTAACGGAAAAGGGCGAGGGCGAGGCGCTGAAGAACCCAAAAACGATCGAGGAACAGAAGGAGCAAGAAGGCGTCGTCAAGGCTACTGGAGAACAGCTGCCGAAGGAGCCTGAAAGGGAAGGCAGTGAAGTAGGTCAGCAGCAACAGAAACAGGATGTCGCCGCCAATACCCCTACGCTCGCCGACAAGGAGCGTGAGGCCAGGAAAAAAGAGAAGAAGAAGAAGAGCGAGGAGGAGCGCAAGGCTCGCAAGGAGAAGAAACGAAAGCTGGCCGAGGCAAACGGAACTGTTCCCATGGAAATCCATCTCGATGATAGTGATTCCTCCGGCGAAATCTCCCCAGCGGCCCCTCCTCCTGTCGAGGCGCCCAAAACAACGGCGTACCCGACCACGAACCCCGTCAGGATATACAGGCGATGCTGCCAACTTCGGGAGACGCCGATCCTAAAGAGGATTACCGAACAGCTCAATGAACCCGCCAATCTATCCTCCGACGTTGGTGTGGTGGAGAAACTGGACTTGACTGGGTACTGGATGCAGCTGCCTGACCTAATCACTCTTGGCGACTACCTCGCCGTGGTCCCCGTCAAGGAAGTCATTCTCGAAAACTGCGGGCTCTCAGATGAGGGCTTACGGGTTATTCTCGCTGGACTACTCGCTGCCAGGCGGCCAGAGAGCAGGAGACGAAAACAGGTTACTCACCCTGAAGGTCTCACTCGACAAGGTGGCGTTGTTGAACGGTTGGTACTGAAGAACAACAAGCTGGGCGTCGATGGTTGGAAGCATACCTGTCTGTTCATCTATCTTTGCCGGACGCTGAGGCACCTCGATTTGTCGATGGTCCCTCTGCCACGACCCGTGTCGCCCAAGACCCATCCTGGGCATCGGCCTCTTCACTTGCCTCATCTTCACCACCAATCTGAAGAGATCACGCTGGCTTCCTTGTTCTCTAAGGCTGTGGGACAACGCCTCGCAGGCTCAAACTTGGAGCTGCTACACATCGGAGGCATCGAACCGACATCAGAGGAACTCGGTACCATTATCGATGGCGTTATTGAGTGTGGCGTGAAGCGATTGGGCCTTGCTCATAATAACATCGACGACAAGGGCTTGGAACATGTTGCGAGGTGGGTCACCAGCGGCAACTGTGTAGGCCTTGACCTTGGCGGCAACGACCTGCGGGAGAACCTCGAAGTGTTTGCCAATGCCATCTCATCAGACTCTCCACTTTGGGGCCTTAGTCTGGCAGAATGCAATCTGCGCGCGGGGACTTTGTGCAAGATCCTGCCCAAGCTCGTTCCTCTGGGCAATTTCCGCTTCATCGACCTTTCACACAATCGGGACTTGTGTAGAACGGAGCCGAGTGCCATCAGCCTACTTCGAAAGTAAGTCATGTTGTGCCTTGAACCCTTCGTTTAGCTAATATGATAAGGTACCTCCCGAAGCTCGAAAACCTCAGGCGGATTCATTTAGCAGACGTGGCGATGTCATCTGAGCAGGCCATTGCACTAGCTGAGATCCTACCCGAAGTGCAGAATCTCGCTCACATCAGCTTCCTCGAGAACCCTGATCTCGTTAACTTGGCCGACGCCCAAACCGAGGAGTCTCAAGAAGAAGCATGCGCCCTCTATGCATCTCTCCTAGCTGCCACCCGAGTCTCGAACACAATGGTCTGTGTCGACATTGACGTCCCCAGCGAGCGGTCGGGCGAGATCGTTAAGGCGATGGC